GTGAAAAAAGAATGTGGATAATATAGCTGCTCCCAACGAATCCCACCACTGTCTCAGCAGAGCCTGAATCGAGGGGAATGGAGGAGGCTCAAACACCAGGCTTGGGTATACAAGTAAAACTGTCCGGGAGCACCATGCTCATGACGGGAAGCCACGCCTGCTTCTAGAGCGACTTCAGCTCTGAAGTTACTGTCTGAAGGTCCAAAGTTTAACCCTTATGTTGCAGCCTTTAACAAACAAGGTCCAATGATAAAAGTGGCTTTTACAACTGGTGCTTTAATAAGCAAATTAAGAAGCAAATCATTGTTTAAAATGCATGAAACGGTTCATAAGAAAGGCAAATCCGCCCTGCCGGTGTGACTCAGTGGATGGAGCGTTGTCCCATGGACTGAGAGGTCCCGGTTCGATTCCCCATCAGGGCACATGGCTGGGTTGTGGGCTCGATCCCCAGTGGGGGGCGTGCAGGAGGCAGCTGATCAATGTTTCTCACATCAGTGTTTCTCTCTCTCTCTCCCTAAAAGTTTCAATAGAAACATAAAAAAAAAAAAAAGAAAAAGGCAAATCCAAAAGTGATGCAAAGGTAGACATGAACCACTTTAAAAATCTTAAAATCGCCCTGGCCGGTTTGGCTCAGCGGTTAGAGCGTCGGCCTGCGGTCCGGGGAGACCCGGGTTCGGTTCCCGCTAGGGGCATGTACCTCGGTTGCAGTTTGTTCCCAGCCCTGGTTGGTCATGCGGGTGGCAGCCACTCGATGTGTCCCTTTCACGTCGATGTTTCTCTCTCTTCCTCTCTCTCCCTCCCACTCTATCTGTGCAAAAAATGGAAAAATGTCCTCTGGTGAGGATGAAAAAAATAAATAAATAAATAAAAAATAAAAATCTTAAAATCATTTAAAAAAGTCAATCATCAATCTTCAATGAAATAACCACAAAACATTTATCTACCTTTTTATTAAGTTTATATCAACAGCCCTGGCCGGTTTGGCTCAGCAATTGGAGTGTTGGCCTGTGGACCAAAGAGTCGCAGGTTTGATTCCGGTCAAGGGCACGTACCTTGGTGGCAGGTTTGATCCCCCGTCCCTGTCAGAGTCATGGGAGAGGCAACCAATCGATGTGTCTCTCACATCGATGTTTCTCTCTCTCTTCCTTCCTGTCTCCCACTCTATCTAGAAATCAATGGAAAAAAATATACCCGGGTGAGGATTTAAAACAAAAAGTTTACACCAATACCATTTCAATTACACAGATTATTTTTATCATTTAAAAATAATTCCCAACACTTTTGGCTAAAGAACAACGAAGGCTGGCTGGCGTCAGGTTCCGGCAGCCAGGGGGACGGAGGAGGGCGGCGAAGGGGTCAGTGTAACCACGGGACCCTCGTCTACGACGGCGCCAAGGCCTCGCCGGTCCTCACAGATGCGGAGGCAAGCCCCAAGGCCTGAACGTGGAAGCCGGACAGTGACCGCTCCTGGGGCCAGTCGGACAGCTGGGAGGGGTGTGGCAGGGCACCAATGCTGTCCACTGCAGTCTGGGCTCTATCACACTTCACCCCTGTGCGTGTGTCACTTTGACTTTATAATACATTTTTATGTGTTTTTGATTTTTTAGAGAGGAAGGGAGAGATAGAAACATCCATGTGAGAGAGAAACATCCTTCAGCCGCCTCCTGCACACCCCCTAGTGGGGATCGAGCCTGCAACCCAGGCATGTGCCTTGACTGGGAATTGAACTGGGCTCTCAGTCTATGGGACACTCAATCCACTGAGCCACACCAGCCAGGCTCACTTTGATTATTAAAAGACAGTAATGAGTTTTTTTCTTTGATGATGGCCAATTAGTTGTAACCCCTCTTGACCTTTATCCAGTGAAGTAAGGCAAAGAAGATTGCATGCCGTCGCCTTGAGAACACGCCTCGGTGTGGGCAGTCAAGAGGTGAAGAAACTCAGTTATTCCTGGTGGCGATGACACACTTGTCAGGGAAGCTTGGTGCGTCCACTCCAGCCACAGCTGCCAACGCAAAGACCCGAGACACACGTGGAGACAGCGTGGACTCTGGGCTCGGGCTAGTCTACGCAGTCCTCAGCCTTTCCAAACACGGTGTTTCTGGAGAGCAGCAGCTTCTCAGTGGTGGACAGATACCCACCTAACCATGACGCTCTGACCAGGACACGTGTGCGCATCACGGCAGAGCTAACAGTACCTGACTCATGTACAAGTTGCTAATGTTACTTTTTCTGGAGATGTCTCTTATTTTGGAGATAATGTCCCCAGCTGTCACGGAACACTCTATTAACCTATTAGTCATCTCGCTTACTTCTCCTGACAGACAGGAGAGCGGAGCTTGCTGCCCTCATGGGCCCCAGGCCCGTCCACCCCGGGCCAGAGGAGGGGCCTGGACACGGCTTCCCTGCTCTCACCTTGGCCTCAGACCTGTCCTGAAGAGAGGCCCAGGGGGCCAGGCGCTCCCTGTTCAGGGGAACCAAGCTCCTTCACAGGTGGCGTGGGCGCCCGGAGGCACCCAGCGGCGGCCAGGACAGCGCGGAGTGTGGTCCAGGGTGCGCGCGGGGCAGACGCAGTGGGCAGCAGGGCGCGGTGGCCAGGACAGCGCGGAGTGTGGTCCGGGGTGCGCGGGGTAGATGCTGCGGGGCAGACGCAGCGGGCAGCAGGGCGCGGTGGCCAGGACAGCGCGGAGTGTGGTCCGGGGTGCGCGCGGGGCAGACGCAGCGGGCAGCAGGGCGCGGTGGCCAGGACTGCAGGAAGTGCTCAGGGGACGCCAACACACATCCAGACAGGCCCAGCACCTGTCCCCGAGGAAGGCCCAGGGACGCGGAAGCACAGCTGGAATCGGAGGAGGCCCTGGTCTCCGGCCTGGCGCGGGTGGACGGTCTGACACTCAGAGGCAGGACCCCCGCTGCGGCGGGAGCGCTCCCAGCACAGCTCTCGGAGGGTCAGCCTGCCGTCGGCTCCGAGCCGAGCCGGGAGGTTTCGCCACCGGCCCACAGGATGTCTCCGTGGAGGCGCAAGGGCAGGAGGGGACCCCTGGTTATAGCAGGAACTAAACTTGGACAATGTCCACGCAAGTCTGAAAACGGAAGCATCATGAGAGAAACAGGCAACTCTGCCTCAGGAAAACGTTATAGACAAACGGCCCGGATGGACATGACCCCTCCTTCAGACAACGATTCCACAAGAGCAGCCCCTTCACACCCTTCACCTGTCACCAGGCGGCGGCGCGGCAGACTTCGCATTGGCACCCGCACCGTCACCGGGGTTAAAGCAGCGCAGGGCTCACTGAGGGAGCAGCCCGGCCAGGAGTCAGCAGTCCACACCCCACAGGAGAGTGACGACTGGATGTGATCTCCCCACCGCCGACTGGCCGCAGGCCCACGCTGACCTGCGTCCCTGGGCCCCTCTCGGAGGAAGCGCTGGGACCTTCCTGCGCCGAGAGCCAGCTCCTCCCTGCCGTCCGCAGGCGCAGCTGGGCCTGCCTTGTGGGAGGGAGAGACAAAGGTATGGGGGGGCTGAAGGTGGAGAGCCACCAGCAGGGCTGCGAACCCGGCGGAGGGAAACGCCCGCAGCCCCGACAGCTCCCTCTGCCGACACCGGACAGCAGCACAGGGGGGTTCAGACAAAGATAACCAGGCTGATTCAGGGCAGTGACATCAAATCAAGTAATTATTGCAGCAAAAAAATATGAACACAAAGCTCATGTTGTTCTTGCACATCACTCATAATAGAAAAATCTGTTAAGCCCTGAGTAATTACTTCAAAATACAGGAAAATGTGTGCCTGACCGGAAAACCTCACAGAGACTGGGGGGGGGGGAGGTGTGGCGGTAGCACAGCGAGGACGCCCCCCTGTGGTCTGCACGGGGCGGGGGGGGGGGGGGGGGAGCCCTTGGGCAGCATTCAGAGAAGCCGGATGCACGAGGCTGTGAGCACACGCCGGGAGGGGAGGGCCGGGAGCACCAGTCCCCCGAATGTTCCGGATGCGCCAGAGCACACAGTGCTGCTCCCAGATTACGAGGACGATGAGGTGAGAACTTTGGGACCACAACACTTGTCATGCTGCGTGACCAGACCTATAATGCCACAGCAGAGTCCACGAGGTCTCACATTGTCTTGTGTCATCCAGAAATGTTTAGGGCCATGGTGATGGGACCAGTTACAATAATAGCAACACGTCGTGACGCAACACCCAGAGTGGAGCAGCGAGCCCAGCTCGTCTCTCCGGGAAACTGACTGAGACCCCTGGCTGTGGACACTCGGCCAGCAGCTGCTGACCCTGCACAACTCCTCAGGGCCACGCAGATGCTCCAGCGCTCGGCCGGGTGCTCACTGCCCAGCGCCTTGGTGGCTGGTGCCCACAGGGAGCACGCAGGAGCCCGCGGTCCCTACATTGCTCCAGCCGAGGTCCTTCAGGCCTGGCCACGGGGCTGCGTTGGACGGGGTGCCCCAGACTCCTGGCGGTCAGAGCCAAGGGTGCCCGGGACCTGCTGGAGGCTCCGAGGGAGAGCGCTGCCCGTCCACTGTGGGCCTGAATGTTAACAGCAGCGTTTCTACCCGCTGGGTTGGTTTGATTACTTTCGATCACAGACACCACCTGAAGGTGGCAGGACCGGTCCCAGGTGAGAGTGCAGCCCACGTCCACCTGACAGAGTGTGAGCCGACCACGCAGGGAAGGCACACCAAGACCACCCACGTTAAGTGACTGCCACGCCATGACTTAGGTTGATGAGGGAGGAAACGAAAGAAGAAATAGAACAGCTTGTGTAAACCAACGTGAACCCGAGACGCAGCCTCTGCAGCACAGGGCCAGACGGCGCGGAGTGGGCCTCCCGGCAGCCCTGCCCCACGCGCGCAGGCGCCGCTGCAGAGCCCTGGCCGTGCCAGCGCCTGGAGCCCGGCTGCGGGCAAGGCCAGCTCCACACCCCAGGACATCGCCCACGCCCCCGGACGGCTCTCAGTCTCTTAAAGTGGCAGTAGATTGCTCTGGTGCTTACCCAGCCACAGGTGTCCTGGGTGGTCCCAGAAGGGCTGGTCCCGAGGGGAACGCGAGCCCGGCGGCTCTGGACTGCACGGCGGCTCTGTCAAGCTGCAGAAAGACCAGGCGGGCTCTGCGTCAGTGAATGTTTTCAGGCTCCACCCAGTCAGCCCAGCTACAGAGAGAACTATCTTTTCCTTCTAGGGTGTCCCGTCACAAGCCCTTTACAACACGCCTGGGCTCTTCACCAGGATGATGCCACTAGCTCCCAGCAGGCCCTGGGGGCGCAGGCCCTGCCAGCGGGACAGGGGGCGGGGTCCCGGACACGGCACACACTGCTGTCGGGCGGCTGGCCAGAACACTGGCTTTTTCATTTTGTGAAATAAATTCAATGCAAATTTCTGTAAACTGAAAATGTCCATTATTATTATTATTATTACTGTTACTATTTTAATCCTCACCCGAGGACATTTTTCCATTTTTTGTTCAGGTAGAGTGGGAGGGAGAGAGAGGAAGAGAGAGAGGGAGAGAAACATCGATGTGAAAGGGACACATCGAGTGGCTGCCACCCGCACGACCAACCAGGGCCGGGGACAAACTGCAACCGAAGTACGTGCCCTTAGCGGGAACCGAACCCGGGTCTCTCCGGACCGCAGGCCGACGCTCTAACCGCTGAGCCAAACCGGCCAGGGCTCTTTTGCCTCTTTTGAAGTAGTGTGTCACCATTGCCTGCTGGGGCTCGGGAACACCATGAAAGCACCCTGGTCCAACTCTGTGCACACCGAGTGGCCCGCAGACCTCGGCCCCAGGACCCCTCTCCCGGCTGAGCCGGCTGCCCCCTTTGACTGTTTCCAGGAGGGGTGTGGTCACAAGCCACGCCAGCCACTGCTTCTTTAGTCACTAGACACCCGATGGTCGGGCCACGTCCCCACACGACAGTCCGAGGAGCTGTGACTCTTTGGGAGAAAGGATTCCACAGTTCTCAGGGTCGAGGCGATTCTTTAGTATAAGTAGCGCCCCCCCCCCCAGTTTATTTAGCCTCAAAGCAAAGCAGAGAAAAAGAAAGTCTGCTAAGCACCATGTGGGCAGTGAGCCTGGGGCAACCCTGCCGGAATCCCCAGCTTTCCTCAGCAGCGTTTGGGCACCCAGGAGTGAAGAAAGTAAAATCGATAAATAAAAACTTTAAAAAGACTTAGCCCTGGCTGGTTTGGCTCAGCAGTTAGAGTATTGGCCTACAGACCAGAGAGTACCAGGTTCGATTCCGGCCAAGGGCGCGTAACTCAGTTTCAGTTCATCTCCAGCCTTGGTTGGGGTCGTGCAGGAGGCAACCAATTGATGTGTCTCTTTCACATTAATCTCTCTCTCTCCCTCCCACTCTGTCTGAAAAGAAATGTAAAAATATCCTCAGGTGAGGATTAAAAAAAAAAGACTTAGGGAAAAGAGCAGAGGTGTCTTATCATTCCATTCAATGTGCGCATAGTCAGTGCGACCGTACAAGCATGACCATAGCACCGAGGAAGGCGAGGGCAGCCCAGACCAAGTGGGCGGTGTGTGCGGAGGCAGGACCACAAGGGCAGCTCAGCGCAGGGCAGGACGGTGCTCAGAGGCCACGGAAAAGCCGAGGCTGGCAAAGGGCGCGTCTCGGCCTCACCCATCCCCCCGCAGGGTTCACACTGAGGGGAAGGGGCTAATGCGGGATGACTGTTTCACTGTCAATCTTTATATTTTTTTAATTTAAAAATTTAAAAATATGTTCTTATTGATTTTTTAGAGAGAGAGGAGGGAGAGGGAGATAAAAACATCCATGTGAGATAGAAACATCGATCAGCTGCTGCCTGCACGTCCCCCACTGGGGATCGAGCCCACAACCCGGGCATGTGCCCTGACGGGGATCAAACCAGGACCTCTCAGTCCATAGGATGACACTCCATCCACTAAGCCACACGGGCCAGGCTCACTATTCATCTTTAAATGGAGGATAAATTTCTTCCCTGAATTTTGACAATGGAAATTTCAAGAGACAATAATGCCCAACTGTATTTTTTTTTTTTTGGTTAAAACAATGACTCACTTGTGTAATGAGATTTAACTTTGCTGGTACTGGCAAAAATCTTCCTACTAAAGTAGTCAGTGGTTTAGGGACATCTGTAAGGAAGACAATTAAAATTAATTGATACCATATATTGCTTTTCTTCCACTTTCACATGGAAGAATGTACAAAAATTAAAATATATCATGGATTTATTGTATGCAAAGTCATTTAAACTTATCTTCATCCCATTTGTCTTTTGTTCTATAAAATCTTTCAGGTCAATGTATTTTTTTTCATGAATTACACCCTTTTTCTTTGCCATAAAGCTCCTCAGCTTGCACTCCAGGGACAGTCTATGCTGAACAATGTTGCCAGTGCCCAGGTTCCCAAGCCCCTGGCGCCGCAAACCCACCAGGGAGCCCGGATAGTTTGTTTTCAAAGAAAGCACAGCGACATCTGTTGGACACCAGGTGAACTACTTTCAATTTATGTGCATTCTTTTTCAACTGGTTTACTAAGTTGTTAGGATGTAAATATTTGTCAGGCTATTTAGACCTGAACTACTTAAGGATTAGAACTGATAGGCATTTCTTTGGCCTAAGGGCACAAGGAAAAACTTTCCTGAGATACTGAAGGGCCTGTGAACCTTGGTGCTCGTGGGTCCTCATGGAAGGTGGGGTGCATCAGTCTCCTGAATCACCCAACAGCTGGGCACATTTTCTGAGGCAGGCTTGTGCAGCCTCCAAGTGACACTACTTTGAGACTTAGGTCAGGATGCAATTATTTTAAGGCGATAGTGTGTTCACAGCGTAACAAAGGGGACTGGGCAAGGGAATTAGGTTATATGTCAAGGAAATGCATTCAGAGAGCATCATACAAGCCCTCTCCTGCGGATCAAAAGGCGTCAGGATTTGCCGTGCGCCAGCGGGAAGGGAATTAGGAAGAACCCCCCCTGCCTGTGTGGAGGACCAGATGCAGCTCTGGCTGCAGGGACCGGCCCAAAGTCCGTGGCTGTGTCTTGGAGGCTTTGACTCCCTGGATAAAGAAATTATCAGGATGGAACAGGAGTCACAATCTTTTTTTTTTTTTGCCTCAGACTCCAAAAGTCCACTGAAGTGCCACCTGGGTTTAAATAATGTTGATTTGAATTATGGGCTAGTTCAGTGAATCATCTGCTCAGGAGCTATCCTGGCTAGCCCAAGATTTAGAGTAACACAATTACGTATGCAGTCCACATAGAAACGCTTGGTTTCCAAGAACTGTGTCCAACTTCCATAAACACAGCCCTAAAGCTGTGCATTTAATCCCCCGAGTCACTTAGCACTACTCGCCTGTTTGGAGACGTTTCTGAGGAGAAGAATGTCAGACAGTCGGCATTTGAGACAGCCATTTCAGACTCGTGGTGACCAGACAAAATGGTTACATTACATGCAGTTGATACCACACCTGAGCCGTCAGCCCCACCCTCCCGGGAAAGGCTGATGCTTCCCCAGGCACTTCTGGGCACACCCACTAGTGGGCATGAATTGTCGTCTGTTAGGGTCACACAGCTCCCTGCAGCTAGCACAAGTATAAGACGGCTGTCCAAAAATTTGAGACAGTCAATATAATGCACACAAATTAGTCTATAAAGATATTTTTTCTATTCTTAGCTACTACTTGGAGTATGAAGGTTACCAAACTGCTTAATACTTAATACTCTGCCTGTTTTGCTTTTATTCTATGTACAAAGCCAAACATATTCACTTACCAACTTATATATATGACATAATCTCTAAGTTAACTTGCTTTGTACCTGACTGTAGAGAAGGGTTTTGGTCTTGGTACTGAGGGACCAAGTGGAGCGCCTTCAGGTCCCCTGCGCCAGCGCCGTCTGCACACAGCACCTGCGAGCCCTCCTCCAGCTGGCCTCGCACCTGAGACAGACAATGACCGGGTTGCCCTTTGCACTGTCCAGTAATATGGACCTACAGACACTTCAACCTGAGAACATAGCTTCAGTCCAGAATTTAAGTTTCCATGGAAAATAGCAAATGGTAGGTCTGGCCTCGATTTCTTACCCTACAACATGCTCTCTGGAGGGAACTGTCCCGTGAGTCCTGTGGGTGGGCTAACAGAAGCTCCTGCCTCATGAGGTTAGGTAAGGACCAGGGGACCATGCGCCTCATTCCCCGGGGCCCACATGAGCACAGAGGGTGCAAGCTGCCAGCCCCATTCTGGGGAAGGCTTCGCCTCCTGGACTCCATCTCTGTAGCTGGTTACATGCTTAGAATATTCTTTTTTTCATCCTTACCCGAGGACATTTTTTTTTTTTTGCATTTATTTTCAGATAGAGCGGGAGAGAGAGAAGGGGAAGAGAGAGAGAGAGAAACATCCAAACATCGATGTGAGAGAGACACATTGACTGGTTGCCACCCACACGACCCCAACTGGGGCCAGGGACAAACTGCAACTGAGGTACATGCCCTTAGGGGGAACCGAACCTGGGACTCTCCGATCTGTGGGGGGACGCTCTAACTGCTGAGCTAAATCGGCCAGGGCAGAATATTCTTTAATTTCATGGCAATTGTTCTTTCCTGCCACATGCATATTTTATTATTTAACACATGGGATTTTTAAAAAAAGTCTATTGATTTTATTTCCTACAACTTAGAAAAGTTAATCCAAGAACCAGAAAGTTCTAAGAGGACACGTCAGTATTCCTGGGCCCGCCAGCACTCCCCGACCACCGCGGTGGATCCGGGCCGCCGACCCTTCGAGCCAAGCGCGCCCATCAGTCAGTCGCACGTCAAGCAAAGCACAGCTACAGCCCTCGCGTGTGCAGCCCGGTCCGAGGCAAGGGTACTGCGCTTTCTGCCCACACACAGCTTCCACTCTGATGGTAAAACAACGTGCGCCCACAGACACTGCGCTTTCTGGCCCTGGTTGCCTTTGGGGTTCCTACACGGGAAAACTCAAGCATAAAGAATCAGTGTTACCAAAATAACACACGCAGAGCCTGTGCTGTTGAGGTGCTCATCACCGCGTCAAAGCTTCTGCTCATAAGAGGCTTGGGTTGCGGTTCGATCCCTGGCCCTGGTCGGGGTTGTGTGGGAGGCAGCCAATCGATGTGTCTCTCTCACTCCATAAGAGGCCGGCATTCGTGTTCAGTTGGAGTTTTATTTGTATCTGGAGGATTAAGTTATAGCCACACACACACCCCCCGAGAGAAAGGCTCAGTATGGACTCTCCAGGCCTCTGTCCATTGCACGTCCTCCTGGTGTGTGCTAACCGCCCTCAGTCGTCCGCTATACCTGAAGGAGATCTCGCCCTGCTCATTGGTCTGTGTGTCCTGGAAAACTCTGTCCTCATTACTGTGGCCCGAGTAGACGGCAGACAGAGGTGAGCACTGGCGTCTGCCACCGCTGAGCTCAAGTTCATTTCCTAGGAAAGCGAGGGCCTCGGGCTAAGGCCTCCTTTCTCAGACGAGACTGGGGGGGGGGGGGGCATTCCTGCTTGTTTGGGCTCTTTGCTCAGGAATGTTGGGGGTTTCCTGGCTCCCCTCTTTGCCAGTCCTCGCCACTGACACCAGTGTCCTAGAGGCACCCCATACAAGCTCACTTTGTAACATCTCTTTTCTTATCCATAAAATGGAGACAAAAATAATGCCTACCCTATAGGCTTGATAAGAGGATTAAATGCCCTGGCTGGTTTGGCTCAGTGGTTAGAGTGTCGGCCCCCAGACCAAAGGGTCAATTCTAGTCCGGGGCACATACTTCGGTTGCAGTTCGATCCCTTGCCCTGGTCGGGGTTGTGTGGGAGGCAGCCAATCGACGTGTCTCTCTCATGTCAATGTTTTCTCTCTCTCTCCCTTCTTTTTTTTTTTATCCTCACCTGAGGACATTTTTCCATTTTTTGTTCAGATAGAGTGGGAGGGAGAGAGAGGAAGAGAGAGAGAGAGAAACATCGATGTGAAAGGGACATATCAAGTGGCCGCCACCCGCGTGACCCAACCAGGCTGGGGACAGACTGCAACCAAGGTATGTGCCCTTAGCGGGCACCAAACCCAGGTCTCTCCGGACCACAGGCTGAGCCAAACCGATCAGGGCTCTCTCCCTTCTTCCCTCCCTTCACTCAATCTGAAAATCAATAGAAAACTATCCTTGGGTGAGGATTAAAAGAAAAGAGAAATGTCACGTAAACCACAGCTATCCCAGATTCCCTGTCCCACAGGAGTGTTGGTGGTATTATCAGAAACCCGGAGGCAGAAGGAAGGACAGCGGCCACCACCCACCTCCCACCAACATGCCAGCAGCCAGCTGAGCTGTGCGGCTGGTCCCGGGGCCAGCCCAGGTCTGCGCTGACTGCTGTGACTCAAGTGCAGCAATGTCCTCATCTCGGCAGAAACGAGAATCTCAGCGATGTGAGGGGCATTAGGAGGGCTCTCGCTTGTGTGCCTCTGACGGAGGAGACAACCAGAAATGTTGATTCAACACTCAACCAGAACGGAAACCAATGCCTGAAACGGCAGTACTGTCGACTCAGAGGTCAGTGATAAGATCAAACACTGCAGCGGACAGCCACACTCTGGGGCGCGGTTACCATGGGGTTGGCGTCCCTCTCAGAGCTGCCCGAGGCGTCCCTCGCTTCCTGTGACGAGGGGAACTGGCAGGGTTCCTGGGGAGGAGGGTTCTGCAGAGCTGCCTCCTCCAGCGTCTCGCTGGTCAGAGCGCCATCTCCTTCCTCGACTTCGACCTGAAAGAGAGTCACTACTTTGGAATCACATTGTGGACGCTGGGCTTAGCGGGTGCACAGTACCCTTCGTGCCTCTCTCCCTCGCTCTCATTCTCCCTGTGGGGCAACCAGTCGGCTAGCCAGCCTCCCTGGGGACTGAGGATCCTGAGGACCCAAACCACTGCCCACAGGTGTGGAGGTGTGGTCTCCATGCGGCGCCTGGTGTAAGTCACCAAGGGGTCCCTGGGTTGGTCGGTGCCCCTCACGCTGCTCGCCAGCCTCCACTCTGACAGAGCTGCACCCTGGTGGGACCTTCCTGAAAGGCTGACCCTGTCGCACTGTCCTCAGAGCAGGCTCATGGGGCTGCACAAAACGTTCTGGTCCGTTGTTCGCTTTTCCCGCGTGAAGCCTGAAACCCCTGCTGCTGTTTTACAGTATTTACAGTGTGTTCCTAGGGGCAGTTATAATGCAGTAGCAGAGCTTTTCTAACTGAATAGCAGGAAGCGAGCATGAGACAGCGAGCATCGGGATGTCCGCCAGCTCCCGTTCAAGCTGTGCCCTGCCACCACCACCACCTCAGTGACACTCAGCAGACTTACCTAGAACAGGGAGAAACCCAGGATATCACCGAAATCAATGGAATTAAACACACACACACACACACACACACACACACACAGCCTGTTAAAAAAATGACCATCAGAATGGAGGGTTCTAAAACTGGGATGCTGTTAGATCCTGGCAAGAATGTAAGGAGGGCTGGAAACAGGGTCAGCCCGCACTGTGCACCCCCCCAACCTCCACCTGCCCAGCTACCTGAGAGAGGACAGGTGAATCCTTCAGAAAGATGGCGTTTCTAAGGGACGTGCTAGGACCAACAGGCGGCAGATGCCGGGCAGGTCGGCCCAGTAGCAAGTGCAGTCTAACATTCAGGCCATCTGAAAAGTTCTGAGGGAGACCCGTGCCCAGAAGGCCTGGGGGACTCTGTGGTCCCTCCCTGTCAGGCGGGAGGATGGCGGAAGCCCCAGCCTCCCCTTCACGCGGAGGACCAGTGACGGTGCTGAAAGAGAACCAGAGAGCAGAAACCCACGGGCTGCTGCTATGGCTCGTGGTCCAAGAAGTCAGCTCCGGCCATCTCAACACTGACCCAGGGGTTCCACAACGCTTAAGTAGGACTTACTAAAATGATTTCATGTCTGAGTGATCTAGTTTTCTAAACTAGATCCTTTGGGGGGCCAACATACATTTCCTTGGGCTCTTTTGCTTCCTTAAAAGTGGATTTGTTCAGCAACGAGGAGCAGAGAATCACCCAGCGGTTTTCCACAGCAAGAGGAGGGTCGTTAGCTGGACATGCGCAGGGATTTGCTGTGATTTATATTACAAACGCTAGAGACGAAAGCACTATAAATACGAAGGGGTCGGGGAGCAGAATGCAAGAAACGTGAGGACAGCCAGGCCGCATTTGCTTTCAGAGCGCGCTCGCTCTGACCACGGCCCTCGGGCCCTCTGCAGGGCCGGGCCAGGCGACCCAGGGACCCAGGGCAGAGTTCGCCTTCAGGGGGAATGCCTTGGCCGGCTGCTGCGTCTTGGGCTGCAGAGGGCTGCACCCTGTTGGGAATGCAGGACTCCCACCAGGGATGCTAGAGGCGCAGGGCGACCCCCGGAGAGGGAACGTGGTGTAGGCCGGCGCTGGGGAGGGCTGAACGGGGTGCCTACTTCGCGCTGGGGAGGGCTGAACGGGGTGCCTACTTCGCGCTGGGGAGGGCTGAACGGGGTGCCTACTTCGCGCTGGGCTCTTACTGGAATCACCCGGACACCGGGGTGGGCGGCTCCTTCCAGGGCCCAGGCGCCCAGGGGCACGACGGCGGGGCTCCTGTGCGGGGTCAGCAGGGAGGACAGGAAGTGGACGTTGTAGGCCTGCGGCGGGGCGGCGGGGAGAACCGCGTCCTCCAGGGGGTCGAGCTCGGGGAGACTCGGAAACTCCCCAAGGATCTCCTCCTCGTGCTCGTCCACCAGGAGCCCGGCTTTGACCTTGTTCCCGCAGTCCAGGTGCAGCGGGGGGCTGAAGGCGTGCAGCAGGGGCTCCTTGGGCTCCGCGGGGCTCAGGTACGGGTCCTTGAACACGTGGAACTCGTCTTCCTCGGCCTTCGCCACCCCCGGCGCTTTCAGGGCCATGTTTTCCGGAGCGAACCGACTCTCCGCACCGAACAGGTCTGGCCCCATCTCCTCTTCGGGACCCGGCATCCCGCCAAGCAGGGGGGCCTCTTCCATGTTCGCTGACGCCCCCTGGGCCGGGCAGCGCCCCGCACCCCCTGCCCGGAGGACCAGCGCACCTGCAACGACGCGCCAGGTGAGGCGGCGGGCTATGGGGGGGGCTCCCGCCGCCCCGAGGGGTTGCCCAGGGCCCACCGTCCACCTCCCGCCTGCAGACCCGACGCCGGGCCCGGGACAGTGGGGAGACCCGACGGCGGCAGCGGCCTCAGGTCCGGAGGGACGCACCTGCGGCTCGGGGGTTGCTGGAACACAGGTGTGGCAGTTAACGGTTGAGGAAGGGGGCGGGGTCAGCGACGGAGTGGGCGGGGACTGGGGAGTGCGGGGCGGGCGCGAGGCAGTGGGCGGGGCTTGGAGCGAGGAGCGCGCGGAGGGGGCGGAGCCGGGGGCGGGGCGCGCAGGTGGGTGGGACGTGAGCGGGCGGGGCGGGGGAGTGGATGGGGTCTCGGCCAGGAGGGTGGGACGCCGGGTCCGGTAGGGGCCGGGCGCGCGCACAGCAAGCGGGCCCCAGGGACTGGCAGTTGCGTGCAGGTGGGCAGGGAAGGACGCTCCAGGGCTCAGCAGCTGCAGGCCCGGGTGGGGAAACTGAGGCCCCCAGGCTGGTCTGAGGCCGCCCTGGTGGGACTCCCTAACTTGACTTATGACCTTAGTCTTTAAAACATACTTTTGCTGCCCTGGCGCTCTGCAGCGTGGGCCCGGGAGCGCCCAGGAGGACAGGAGGGCCAGGGGCTTGCCCACGCATTTTCCCAGCAGAGCACTTTACACCCTTGGTGCTGGAGCTTGGGATGTGTCCCCCAAAGCTGGGCATCCGAGTCAAATGTAAACAACCCAACATTGATGACTGATGTTGGGGGAGGGGGTCCGGCAAGACCTAGAAGTAACAAATACAACTCACAGTAGTGTAACGCACACTTTGGGGGGAACTGAGCTAAATCCACCCCTCATAGCTTATTTAGGGTCATGGCCTGACCTGCCAATCCAACCAGGCAGAGTTGGATGGTATTCGGGGTTGGCAGTGGGGTGCGGGCGGTGAGGAGCGATTCACCTTGACTCTCAGGTACTGTTTCATGTGCAGATATTGTTGGGGTAAAATTAAAATGTAAAACATCAACTTCCTAATCTCATTTTAAAAATTTAAACCTTTCAGACAGTAACCGAGACAGCAATACTGTATGCTACTATTTAGCTGTCCACTTTTGCATTCAAGAAATCTCAAGAACATTTTATGCAGTTGAGAAATCCCAACTTATCTTGCTGGGACTTATCTGAAAAATCCTGGGACATTCCAGTGGAGTTCGAACAAGACAATGTGGTTAAATTAGCACTGTTGGGATTTTCCAGCCATGTGAATGGCCTGAAAAAGATTCCCAGCAACCTGTTCATTCCAAACATACTGGACTTGACCTGAAGTCCACTTTTCGGAGAATTCACTTACCGTGCCTGTGATGGATAGGACAGGACTCCATAGAAGGCTTTAGGGTCTTCTTTAGACTAAAACTAGGATAGCCCTTTTAAAACACTGTGTAAACATAAAACCTCCTACTGAAATGTTTAACTATCGCAGATGAAGCTGACGGCCCCTTGAGCACCATGAGGTCCAGTCACACTGCCTTTCAAAGAGGGGTCCCTGTGAGTAGTCTTTTGGACCCTTTCCCCGGGATTCGCATACGTAAGTGTGTAGACGGCTTTGCTCCAATCCCGTGGCTGGAATAATCACATCACGGTGAGCGCAGCTGAGTTAATAAGGGCAGGCGGAGAGTACAACTCAGGCTTCCTAAACTGTAAGGACCGAGAAGGCAGCTGCTCTAATCTAAGAGCCCCAGTAACAAAGTGAGCGGCTTGAATAGCAAGCACGACCACCCCCTTCATTTACTCACACACCACACACCTGACTGAGCAAGCTCCCAGGGGTCAGCGTCAGGCATCCCGTCCTGTGCACACAGCACCCTGGACACCGAGCCGGCCACTCGCTGCTCCTGGCCGTTCTCCCAGCCCTGATGGACCATCTCCGGTCAAACCCGTTTCTCCATGAGGCCCCTTCCTGGGCCCACTTGCCTTGGACACGTACAATCCTTTGACGGGTTCTCTTGGTTCTTAACTCCTCCCACTGGAGTTGGATCTCCAAGTACAGTCAGAACTAGTGGGGTCCCCACTGTATCCCTGTGGCTCGGACAGTGTGCTCAGCGCAGCTGGCGCTCAGTGAGAGCTGTTGAGAAAGTGGAATTCGTTGTGCAGATACTTACTGGGCAGCTACTCTGTGTCAAGCACTGTTCTAGGTACAGGACATGGAGTGGATGAATGAATGGATATCCCGTAAAAACCCACAGCCCTACTTGGCAACCTCCCTTCTCAGCCAGGGCACGAACCCAGCGCGGTCTACTCTGCCCAACCCCCAGGCCTTTTTCTACGTATCTTGATCTCTCACCTTTGTCCCAAGTGCCTGAGCTTTGTACCTGACTTACAGCCTCCTTATTAACAGAACATAAGAGACAGAAACAAATACTGTGGTAGACTGGGATTAATGCTTTTATTAACGATAACATCCACACTGCGTTTCTAAGATTTACATCCAAAAGAGCATATTGTATTTACATGCACTACACAGTCCAAGATTACAAAGTCAAACCACAGCTCTGGTTAAGACCATGGTTTGTCCCAGATTAAATTAAATACTTAATACTCTCACCTCTTCCTTTCAACATGTACAGTAAAAGTCCACCCTTCCATCTTTTTAGGAATATAAAAATTGCATTGACAACTGCACTGATTAGCAAAAATATTTAAAACCTGAGAGATAAGCCCAAGTATAATTGAGTGCTAACACATGTACACTGGAACGCTAGGTAACACAGACTGGTCAGTGGTCAATAATGCATGATTCAGGTGGCTCGGAGTGACCGCGGGGCCTTGATCGGGAGCCGCGCGGCCCGAGCGGCAGAGTGGGCCATTCCCCCACAGCTCCTGGGCTGCGTACCACAGACGAACAGGGTTTTCTTACTATGGTGGTTGTTTTTCCCGTTTCCATTCCTTCTTGCTTTTAAGACAAAAAAGAAATCTTTGGCCCATTCAGATGGGGTTTCTCCATTACAACACCGTCATAAATAAAACACGCGTGTGCTCTGTGGCCAGCGCCTGCTCTCCCTCCGGCCGTGCGGCCCCGTCTCGGATCACAGAGTGCGGAACTCTCACGGAGGGGAGCGCAGCCAGGACAAAGTGGTCAGGCAAATAAATAGCCAAGTGTTTAAATGGGCAGATGAGCTTGTCACGACAGCCCAGAGACAGTGGGTCTTTCAATCCGGGATCCTTTCTTTTTACATTAAATACTGAAGACAATTCAGTGCATAAGTGCTTGTTTTGGTCACTCACCCTCTCGATAAGGCACTCTTGTCTGAAAGTAGGCTGCGGTCAACCCCACACCCATCGCCTGCGCCACGCTAGCCGGGCACCAAGGCTCACACAGCGCTGGGACACACAGTGCTGCCCTGCCCTGGCCACGTGGAGCCTGCGGGCCCCTCTGCTCAAGCTGGGTTCCTTTCCCAGGGGCGGATGTCACGGTCTCCTGGCCATCGCTGGAGTAAGCGGCGCTGCCGAGGCACACGTCCTATTTTATTGTTCAGGGAATGCTCCAGACACAATACTCGACCATCAAGCCAATGTTCCCCATTTCTGATGCATGCCCACCTCCCAAGGCATGGGGGGCCCACAGAGCTGCCCTCAGAAGGGAACCAGTCTTCCTAGGGGTAGGGGAACCACGGGAAAATGCCTGTTTCGGGTTATCCACTCAGTGAATTGAGGAGGTGAGGAGGACCCCCCACAATTCCATCTAAAGACTTTCCGAAATCAACCTTTCTCCCGGTCTCCCGTGCGTTCCGGGCCTTCCGTTCTGAAGGCACTGGGTTCTGAACACTCGCGAGGTCAGGACTAGAGGGGCTCACACTACGTGTTTGAAACACAGCCAGGCGAACGCACGCGACGGAGCCAGACGAGGCCAGTTACCGCAGGGACGAAGCTTCAGAAGCGCAGCGTTTCAGTGAGGGCGGCACGGGCACGTCCGCCGCCAGCCGCTAACATCTCCAGCCCGCAGGGCGCTTTTCTCTCTGGGCAGGACACGTGCTCACCCTCCTCTGCTAAAACTAAACACCGGGTCCTGGGCTGCCCCCAAGGAAGTGCCACCCCTCCATCTCCGACACCCGCGACGTCACAGCGCCCGCTCCTCCGTGAGCTCATCACCAGTCCCATCCCTCCGTGGGCAGAGCGGATGCGGAGACTTCCCGGGGCCCTTCCTCAGCTGTCCCTCAAGTCAGGACCTGCCTAAAAGGAGGAGGGCTGTACCTCACGTGGTGGAGCCTGCAGTCACAGAAAAACAAGACACCAAACCCTTGATGGCAAGAGAAGTTCTGAGTTTTTTTTTGTTTGTTTTGTTTTTTGTTTTTGTTTTGTTTTTTTTTAGAGCAATTTTTCACCCTGAACTAGGATCAGGAGTAATAGCTATTTTTCATTTGGTTTTTATCCGAAGGGCTCACTTCCTTCCCGGCGGCCGTCCTGGGAATTACTTTCTGGAGTTGGAGCTGAACCCAAACAGAGTGATGATGTCGGTCATCGCCTGTCTCAGGTGCTTCCCGAAACGATGAGAATCCTTCCATGCGGAAACACAGAGGCGAACAGGCGTTACCACCCGGCAGCTCCCCCGTTTCCAGCCGCCCCCCGGAACCTGACTCCACCAGAGAGCCACCGTTTCTCCCCTGCCGGGCTCTCGGCCGGGAGGCCACGGCTGTCGTGAGGGGCACGTTCTGGAGACCTGGGGACCCACGAGAACAGGATGTGTGTGCGTGTGGGTGTGTGTCTGATCGGAAGCGCTCCCTGATGTCAAAGCATTAAATTCCACATAAAAGCCCTGGCCGGTCTGGCTCGGTGGTTCAGTGTCGGCCTGTGGTTCGGTTCCCGCTTGTCAGGCAATGTACAACATGGCAAGGAGAGACTGTCAATAAGGATTAACAGTGCCATGCTCGGAGCAGGGCAGGTGTTCCGGTCACAGAACCCCACAGAGCCCGGCCTCATTGAGTGTGAGTGTGAGTGTGTGTGTGTGTGTGCGTGCTCGTCCACGCTCCAATGCTGCAGGGTCTGGAAGTTATACAAGATCTTCAACACTAAGATTCAAAACCATTGCTACAGCCTTGGCCGGGTAGCTCAGTTGGTTAGAGCATCGTACCCAAAAGGTTGCGGGTACGATTCCTGGTCAGGACACATACCTAGGTTTCGGGTTCAATCCCTGGTAAGGGCGGGTATGGGAGGCAACTGATGGATGTGTCTCTCTCACATCAATGTTCCTCTCTCTCTCTCTCTGAAAATCGGGGTAAAAACCCCAATTCCTACCAATCACTCCCATCAACCTCCTGCCCCATTATCCTTAGTGACCCTTCCCATCTCTTTCATCAATCACTTCCCTGAATTACCCTCAGTACACCCTTTCCTCCTCTCTAGCCTCCCCTCCTTCATTGTCTAGGGCCTTGACTCACCCCCGTGAACTTCTCTCCCCTTTCTGACCCTCTTCCACACCTACCAGACACCCTCAGCCCCCCCCAACACACACAAGAGTCACTCACATTGTAACCCTATTAAATACATTTAAAAAAATCAGCCTGCCAGTGTGACTCAGTGGACTGAGCACCATCCCATGGACTGAGAGGTCCCGGTTCAATTCCCCATCAGGGCACATGCTCAGGTTGAGGGTTCGATCCCCAGTAGGGGGCGTGCAGGAGGCAGCTGATCCATGTTTCTCACATGAATGTTTCTCTCTCTCCCTTCCTCTCTAAAAAATCAATCAAAACACCATAAAAAATCAGTTTAAACATGTCCTTGGGTGAGGATTAAAAAAAAAAAAGCATTGCTACCAGCAAACATAAACATGTAACCAAACCAGATCATTTCTTTAAAAACAAGGTTAAGAGAATTTCAAAATTCATTAATTTGAAAAGATCCAAACCAAGTAAAAGTACACAAGTGAACTGAGATTTCCTGCAAATTCCAGACACACTCCCCTTGGGAAACAACAAACGCACGTCTTTGAGAAGGGGACTGCGTTCGGTCCTCACCGTCTCGGGGCTGGAGAACTTGGAGGAGACGTGGAAATTGATGAGGTTCTCTCCCACCAGGATGTAGGACACGCCGTACCCATCGTCAGCGACCTGCAGAGCAGAGCGGGTGGGAATGTAAGGTCAGGAAAGGCTGCAGTGGAGGAGGGCTTTCTGAGGGTCCGGATCCCGGAGCGGCGCCAGGCGGGGGCGAGGACAAGCGCTTGATGAAAGGTGGCAAAACGGGACCAAGAAAGCGGTGGACCCGTCTCTTAAGCTGACTGGTGCGATGTGAGCACCGGCCTTGGTCAGTAGAAGAAACGCTGGGAAAACACTAGTCATGAGATCGCAAGGAACCAAGTCACGTCGAAGGGTCTCAAGAGTTGTGTTTCTTTTTCTAATCTTTTCTTTTTAGAGAGAGAGGGAGGGAGTGGGAGAGAGATAGAAACATCGATGTGAGAGAGAAACATCGATCTGCTGCCTCCTGCACGCCCCCCCCACTGGGGATCAAACCCGAAACCCGGGCATGTGCCCTGACTGGGAATCAAACCGGCTCCCTTTCAGTGCTAGGCATGATGCTCAACCACTGAGCCACACTGACCAGGCTAAAATCAGACTTTTAATAGTGATAAAAAAAAAAATCCTGCCCAGCCAGTGTGGCTCAGTGGTTGAGCATCGACACTGCACCAAGAGGTCACCAGTTCGATTCCCGGTCAGGGCACATGCCCAGGTTGTGGGCCTGATCCCCAGTGGGGGGCATGCAGGAGGCGGCCAGTCGCTGTTCTCTCTCATTGATGTTTCTATCTCTCTCCCATCTTCTCTCTCTAAAATTAATAAAGAAAAAATATTTTTAAAAAAATCCTATCTGTGAAAAGCAGAAAAAGCAAACCATCTGTATTCATAACCAGCAGGAATTCCTTTATAGTTCTCTGAACTCAGACAGGCCGGAGTGGTGGGGACAGACATGCCTTGGCCCTGGGGACGTCCTGGCTCCAGGACTGGTCACTCATCCACACAGAGGCCCGTTCACTTACCGGCCCAAAGCCCCCTCCGCTGGACACATACTCCGGATTCCTCTCCAAATCAAATAACTCCACCTGCTGCTGAGGGGTCTGGCTGGTGGATAACCTCCAAGGCTCGGACAAGACCTGGTGATGGACACAAGGAAATGTTCCAAGGACACTTCTAGTCCCGTCCTCTGTCCCCGAGGGGCCCCAGTGGGAGACCAGAACAGGCCTGCTCGGTTTTGGACTGTTTGGGGCCAGTACACCTGCAGACGGGGGTAGAGCAGGTGAGCACACCTGGGCTGGAGGGGCCAATGCCAGCTAACGGTGTACCCAGCAGAAATGGTGGTGGACACATTAAGACTCCTAATGGGGCTGGGGCCGCTGGACCTCCTGTGAGCCAACTGCTAACCTTCAGAAATCTCTCAAGCAGCTTGTTGAACACAGCCACTCCTACAATTCAATTTTATCAGCTTAGTGACATACTCAGGGCTTGTCACTTCTTCATTATTTCAGTATGTCAGTATTATTATCTCTGTTCTGATGGTTTTTCACATGTTGCAAGTCAAGCGGGCCGATGGAGGGCAGAGCGGTCCAGGGTTGAAGCCATGCACCCTGGGATCACATCTCAAACTGTCCATCGTCTGACAGTTGAGCCCATCCCTACTCATAAAGCTGCCGCACTAAGTCACCAAGCTTTGGTTTGGCCACTGAGCCCACGGGAGCTGCCGCAGGAAAGCACGACCTACTTCCTTCAGGAAAGGGGACTCCACGGCGAGATACTTGGACACCACGTAAAGGCAGAAGAGGTGGCGGTCGATCCCAGCGCCGGTCATCGCCAGGCGGTACAGGTGCTGGTGCTTCTCGGATGCGATCTTGAATAATCGGAGTCTCTGCTCAGCCTGAGTAACAAAGAATGGGGCGTCTCAGGTGTGCAGTCCAGACCAGGCCCCGGGGCGAAGGTCCCGGCCCCGCTGGCAGTGCGCCCGCCGGACGCTGGGAAGGAGGCCACTGGGGGGGGTGCAGGAGCCACGGCTGAGGCCACCGGCCAGCGGCCCAACCGACTGACCACCCCTCCCCCGGGCTGGGAGGAGCACACGGGGGTCCCGTGTGCAGCCCGCCTGGTGGCGTGGACCTGTCCCACTAATGAGATCGTGAATGCAAGCATGACAGACACGGAGCCACTTCAAAATGAGCCGAAGCTGCCGCCCCGGAGCATCTGCCCTGCACGCCCTATGCCTCAAACCTTGGGAACGTTTCAAACGGGGCAAAATAACCTGGGAACTGAGCCCAAAGCAACAGTGTGTCCCTCAAAAGTGTCTGCAAAGGTAACAAGAAAGCAGCTCTCATGACTGCAGGTGAGCAACATTGTTGAGAGTGGCAAACCCTGTTGTTATCCCCACAACAGAAACGCCCCCCTTCTGTGGCTGCGCCGCCCCCTCCCCGCTCATAACCAACACCCGCCCCCTCTCCCGTCGGAGCAGCGGGCTTCTGCCCGCCCAGCCGTCTCTGTGACCCCGGAAGTGCTTGCGGCCTCTCGCTCTGTCTGGCCTTTCATCTCCGGGTTAACCCTGAGCAGGCGGGAGAGCCGAGGTCCCAGCTCTCGTCTGGAAATGAAGTTCTGCTGCGGCGCCACCGCGGGCCGTGAACACCCGTCCCTAGAACAGGGCCTTTGGTCCGACCGGGCTCCTCCAGGTCAATCACAGAAGGCTGGAGGCCTGTGCGGGCTGTGACCACCCACTGGAGACCCGGTCATCAGGGCAATCTGCGTGACACCTACTGCTTTCTTCCCAAGGAGGGAGACTTTCCCCAGTGCCCCCAGCAGACAGAGCCCCGCTGTGCCTCCTGAACATCAGCATGAGCACCGGGGCTCTGGGTCAGCATGCAGGGCTCAGCGCATCCACATCCCTGTTCCTCTAGCTACGAAAACGAACTGATACCCCTTCACGGGCCACTGCCGGGATGTTCAAAGGTACTGCACAGGGAGCCGGGGCTCCAGCCTGCCCCGGGCGGCAGGCACCCCAACAGCAGGTCCAGTGGGCTGCTCCCCTTTAAAGACTCCCAGGGAGCCTGGCCAGTGTGGCTCAGTGGTTGAGCATTGACCCAGGCACCAAGAGGTCACCGGTTTGATTCCCGGTCAGGGCACATGCCCAGGTTGTGGGCCCGATCCCAGTGGGGGGCGTGCAGGAGGCAGCCATTAGATGTTCTCTCTCATCGATGTTTCTATCTCTCTCCTTCTCCCTTCCTCTCTCTGAAAATCAATAAAGAAAAAAAACCCCACTCTCGGGGAGTTGAATCTGATTTGTAGATGTTACAGAACGAGCCAGGTCAAACGTCAACCTCTCTGCGTGTCCCGACCACCACGTTTCAACCCTCCAGGTGCCCTCGAAAGGGTGAGGACGGAGCCGCTGGACAGCAGCAGGCACAGGAGGTGGTCAGGGCCCTCAGGAGCCCTCCGCGGGCCGCGGGCGAAGCGCGTTCTCGTTACCGTCTGGCGGGGGTCCATCATGGCCAGCACGAAGTTGCAGGACTCGACAGTGCAGGACCGCACGGTCTCCGTCCTCCCCTCTCGGAAGAGCCGGGTCATGGAGGCCTCGTACGTGAGGCAGAACTTGCCCATGTCCTGGGAGAGAAACGGCATTTTACACAAGGCACACTGAGAATGAAACGCGCGAGGGGTCGGTCAAGGCCGGCAAGGAAAGCGGACTCGGTGGCCGGCTCCGGTGTTTAGTGGCCAGTTTTCACACGGGGTCACGCAGCAGGCACGTGGGGACGCCGTTAGCTTCGGAGAGGCCGGGGGTCCATCCCAGGTGCAGCTGACGCCAGGGCCCGATGTCCCGTGTCACACACCTGCCCACATGCTGACCGTTACGGAACAAACACATGACAAGCAAGTCCGCGTGCAACAGTTTCCAATGACTGAAAGGTGGAAGGCGCTGGCGGAGAGTCACCTTATTTAGTGACAGTGGGAACACCCGGTAGAGACACTGGTGCTGCAAGAGGGGACAGATCCGCAGGACTGTCCTCCAGCAGGAGGGGGCGGCCAGCCTGCACCCCCACTGGACATAGGGGTCAGCTGTGGGACGGGGACGCGGCGGGGGGTCTCTTCGGAACTCTCACTTTCTCGGTGAAACAAGGTTGCGGCTGACAGCAAGGGGAGGAGGTGCTGGAAGTCAGAGGGGCGCGCACGGCACTCAGGAGCACAGGGAGCAGGTGCCCGGGGCCACCAGAGTCGCTGCTCGTCAATCAATGACTGAGCCAGGGGCTGGGTGTTCTCGGGCCGAGCCAGCTCCTCGGGAGCAGGGTGGACAGGGCAGTTCTGCTGTGCTTGGGCCGCAGGGCGGAGGTCAGGGACGGTGGACTGAAGCAGGGGAATCTACGGCGAAGGAGGAAAGGAGGGCGAGGGGGGGAGGCCGCGATTGGGTTCAGGACTAGAAAGGGGCCGGGAACGGCAGGCAGAAGGGCTGGTGGGCCTGGGGGTGCCGGATGACACCCCAGCGAGGGCTCCATGGGAAGAGCAGGGGGGAGGACAGAGACGGGGGTCCCCGGAGCACGTAACGACCCACCACACGCACCGTGTGGGGAGATCACTTGCGATCCTCCCGGGGGGTGCCCGCGGCCACCAGGCAGCTCAGGGATGAGCGGGTTCCCCACGTGGGCAGGAAACTGGAAAATGGCAGGGTGTGGACCCGAATTACTCCTGACCAGAGCGACAGAGGGTGCCCTGTGACCCCCCAGGAGAGGGTGCCAGCACCCAGCCGGACTCCCTGGTGCGCGGTCCAGACCTGCGGGCTCCCCTCCCCACAGCCGCTGGGGTTCCGGGACACGCGCCGTCCCCCCCGGGAGGAGCGAGCGGCGCGAGTGAGGCTGCAGGTCTACGGGGAGCTCGTCTTGTCACTGAGACTGTGCCCAGCTTCCGGGGTCCACCCTGAGGGCTCCCACGGTGCCCCCACAAAGACCACCGGTCACTAAATTCCCCCAGATGGGGCCCAAGAGGGCTCCACCACCTCATTCCAGCCCAGGGTGAGCAGGGTCCCCGTTACCCCTCAGATGTGCCAGGCAGAGAGCCCCCACAGGCCCTCTTGTTAGTGTTTTCAAGGGGGCTCGTTGTGAAGTGGTGGGGAGGGTGCAGGGAGGGAGGAGAACAGGAAAAGGATAAATCTGGTACTTCAGTCCTTCAATGAAGGTTGACTGGGGACACAGGATGCAGTGATTTATCTGCGTGTGTAAGTGGCTAGCACAACCATGCACTGTCCTCGCAAAGACGGGACCGCCTGAAACCTCTCGGCAAACGGACAGCACGTGAGCGTGTTTAGACCCCGCCCAGAGCCAAGCCTGCAGCCCCCCTAACCTGCCATGACCAGCGCCATTGGGGGGCGGCCGCTTGCCACCCTCAAAGCAGGATCGAAAGACAACGTCTACAAAGACGGGAACACACGCGGCATGAGCACAGACCCGCGACACACTGGGACCGCCGCCCTGTGCCTACCTGTGCAGCTCGGGCGGTGTTACCCCCTAGTTTCCTAAAGAAAAAGAAATATGACCTAAGAGTGGGAAGCAAGTGACTACAGACCGAAACTGTGACCACTGCCCAGGGTCTTCATCCTGCCAATCATTAACTATTTACTGCCGTCTCTTCCCGTGTGGCCGGCACGTGCTTGGCACTGGGGGTACATTGTTAAACAAGACAAATCGTGTCCCTGCCCCCAAGGAGCAAACAGTCTGGCCAGAGATACGAACATGATGTCACGTACACTGAACAGAAATGATGCCGCGTTAGTGAAGACAGTGATGGGGTGGCGGCTATTTCAAATAGGAGACGGTGGCACTGTGACCAGACCGAAGCACCCACGCCTCAATCTGGGAGGCAGCACCTGCCAGTGCAGAGCACGTGCAAAGGCCCTGCGGTAGGCATGAATCTCATATTCAAGAGCAGTAAGAATGGAAATGTGGCAAAGACAGAGTGAATGAGGCCCAAAGTGGTGTTAGAGAAGGCCGGGGCTAGCCAGGGGCCAGACCAGTGGTTCCTAACCTGGGGGATGTGTGAGGTGGAAGGGAAAGATTCAGATACTTTAATTCCCACTAACCTCAAATGGAAATATCGCCTTCAGAAGCACAGGCAACAAACCAGTCACTAGGAGCAGTGCCTGTGACTCAAAATCTAGTGCATAAAGAATTACAAATTCCCCGGCCAGTTTGGCGCAGCGGTTAGAGCGTCAGCCCACGGACCAGAGTCATGGGTTTGATTTCGGTCAAGGGCACGCGCCTCGGTTGCGGTTGGTCCCCGGCCCTGGTCCTTGTCGTGTGGGAGACAGCCAGTCGATGTGTCCCTCTCTCTCTCTCTCCTTCCCACTCTTAATTTAGTGCCACTCGAAATTTAGTGCACAAAGGATTATATTGCCTGCAACCAGGAATGTGCTCTGACTGGGAATCAAACAGGTGACCTTTCGGTGCATGGGACGAAGCCCAACCAACCGAGCCTCACCGGCCAGGGCTACGTCACTGAATCAGTCATTTTTAATAGATTGAGTGCTGCATAAGAAATCAACTTGGGGGAGGGGCACCGAGTGAAATCCTGATTCTTTCTGGCCAAAGGGCAACGGACAGGTATAAGTGCTTCAGTTCTTTATAATAAAGGGGGGAGGAAGGGGCTTTAACTTTTAACAAGTAACTCGATTCCTTAAAGAGTAATTGTGATACCGGCTTGTGCAAAAAATATTAGATCTGAAAAATGTAAGGAAGTAGAGACACACCCTCACAGGACCACTGCCAATACTTCTCTTCTCTCCTTTCTCAACTCTGCAAACAATAGTCAAGGGCTGGGAGGCGTGTCCTGTGAGGCGCGGGTGGGGACTGTCACAGCCTTCGTGGGCCGGGCGGTCTGTCTGAGCCCCCGTCTCTCACCAGCAGCCATGGCCAATGGGGCAAAAGCGGGGTGTGGCTGGGCACCAGGACAACTTTCTCTGTGGAACCCTGGAAATTCATGTGATTTTCACGTGTCAAAAAATATTTCTCTTTTTTGGTTTTTATCAATGATTAAAAATGTAAAACCACCTGACCAGTGTGGCTCAGTGGAATGAGCGTCGCCCCATGGACTGAGAGGTCCCGGTTCGATTCCTGGTCAGGATTACTCGATCCCCAGTGGGGGCATGCAGGAGGCAGCCAATCAATGGTTCTATTTCTCTCTCCAAAAAAAAAAAAAAAAAAAATCAATAAACACACATTAAAAAAAAAGAGTAAAACCATTCTTGGCTCAAGGGCCAGGCAAAAACAGGTGGAGGCCTGGATGTAGCCAATGGCTGGGCCAGAGTCTGCTGGTCACGGCGCAGAGTGACCGACTTTCACACACTGTTTCATGATTAAGTGTCAAAGACTAGGCCACAGACATCACTGGATAGTTACACAACATTCCACGGTATAAAAAGGACCCTCAGCCCTGGCCAGTTTGGCTCAGTGGTTAGAGCGTTGAGCCGCAGACCAGAGTCCGGGTTCGGTTCCCGCTAAGGGCATGTATCTTGGCTGCAGTTTGTCCCCGGCCCCGGTTGGGGTTGTGTGGGTGGTGACCACTCGATGTGTCTCCCTCACATCGATGTTTCTCTTTCTCTCTTCCTCCTTCTCTCCTTCCCACTGTATCTCAAGATAAATGCAAAAAAGAAAAAAAGATGTCCTTGGGTGAGGATAAAAAAATAATAAAAAATAAATAATAAAAAAGACCATCATTTGAGAAGTTGCATATGGATAACCTTTCAGATTGCTTCAGATTTTTACCAGGAGGCACAAACTCACCTTTGTAAAACTTCCCCTAAAGAACACTGTTCTCTAGAAATATGTGAGCTGCCCTCACTGGGCTCCTGGTGAGATTAAACTTTCTGTGAACCTCACTGACCATTTGTAATTCTCTCCTTTTGGGAAACACCAATTTCTGCTCCGACTCCATTTTTTTTTTTATCCTCACCTGAGGACATTTTTCCATTTTTTGTTCAGATAGAGTGGGAGGGAGAGAGAGAAAGAGAGAGAGAGAAACATCGACATGAAAGGGACACATCGAGTGGCCGCCACCCGCACAACCAACCAGGGCCGGGGACAAACTGCAACCGAGGTACGCGCCCTTAGCGGGAACCGAACCCGGGTCTCTCTGGACCGAAGGCCGACGCTCTAACCGCTGAGCCAAACTGGCCAGGGCCCAACTTCCTTTTTCTGCTGGGCTATTTATTCCCCCGAGATGGACCCATCCAGCCGATTTTTCCCACCCCGTGTACTAACCAAGTCATCCCCTCCCCCTGAGGTCACCGTCTCCCGCGGCGCCTACCACGTCACGGAACCACCCGGCCGCGCTGCGCCGGGCTCGTCACCCTAACGTCTCACTGCGTGCCAGGCTCCACGTCCTCCTGCCCTGTCCCACCTCACTGCCTGTACTTTCCAGAATGCCCTGGCTGTTTTCCCGCGTCCGCTCTCCCGGGTCCACCTGGAGATCCATGGACCAAGCTCCTTTCCTCAATTCACCTCCACGGTGTCAAGTCTTCCTATCCAAAGTCACGGCCCCTCCCGTTCCGACCCTGTTCCTCCTGCCCGGCCCCTCTGCACCCGCTCAGGGGAGGCCCTGGGGACGCGGAGCTGCTGGAGGCAGCCTCGCCCTGTTCCCACGGAGCGGCCTCCACAGCCTCACCTGTCGGGCCCGCGCCGGCCACTGACACCCAGGGCATCACCACGCACCGTGCGAGGGAAACAGCTCCTGTGACTGAGTTACCGGACGTGCCGGCTTCTGTCACAAGGACTCACCTAATACCACGACCCATCTACTACCCCTCCCGCCGCCCGTATGAGCTGCTGCTGGAGATACTGTTTCCCAGACTGGCAGAGTCTACTTGCTGACATTGCTTTTAGGTCCTTTGCATCTAATATCACGAGTCCGTTTAGTCCACGTCACAGGTCAGAGACGTCAAGCCATCTGCCCTGGGCCGTCTAGCCATTCCCGCCTGACTGAACCCAAGGACCATGCCGATTAAGGTTTGGTTCTCCCGTTCGCAGAGCATGGCGTCTCGCGGGGCTCCCGTCCCAGACTCTCCGTCCCGGGGGTCCGGGACCCTGCCGGTGTCCACCGGGCTGCGCTGGCACCCCAGCACGCGTGCCTCTGCGGGACCGGCCCAGCTCCCGGGCGCGCTCGCCCACCTTGTAGTGCGCCAGCTGCAGGGCCAGCTGCACGAAGGCGTCCGGGCTGGTGCGGCACTTCTTGATCAGCCCCTTCCCGAAGGTGTCGAACGGGAAGGAGTGGAAGTCCACGTCGTTGGCCAGGAGGTTCGCGCTGCTCAGGGACGTCTCTATCACCTCTTGACACTGGAGGGAGAGCAGAAGAAGGGTTTCCTTGTGGGGGAGGAGCTGACACCCCAGGGCAGGAAAAGCACAGCTGGTGGGCAGGGCAGCTCAGCGCTGCGGCTCAGACACGCACAGCACAGTTTCCTGTCGGTTCTGTCCAGGCTTTCCCGGGGGCCGCAGGGTGATAGCACCCGCACCCGCCCCTCCTCGAGGAGCCGTGGCGGCCCCCACACAGGCAGGGCTTGGGGGCTTCCTGGCTCCCGCAGGACCCCGAAGGGCATCCCCAACCGCCTCTGGTGTGTTATGTAAAATCCATTATTCTACAGTGGCGACCAAGGAAACCATTCAAAAAACTAAATGGACTGGGACCCAACCATACAGGGGAAATGAGTTTTTCCAGCCACGAAATAACGTGGAGTCCCAACTACCGACCACTAAGTGGAACAGGCCGGTCAGAAAAGCCGGACAGGGGCCCCAGGCAGGGACGTTCTGGGGGGGGAAGGGAAAAGGAGCACAGGCGGGAAGACACGCCGGGTAAGGCTGAAGTGTGGGACCCGTATTTTCCACATTGAAATTACTTCTAGCTCCCAAGGAACGCGAATCAGACAATTAAATTAAAGATCCGTGTAGCCCCGGCCCAGGGGCTCAGCTGGTTGGAGCGTCGTCCCGTACACCAGAAGGCCTCGGCTTCGATCCCCAGTCAGGGCACATCCCTGAGTTGTGGGTTCAGACTCTAGCTGGGGCATGTGCGGGAGCTGATCGGTGTTTCTCTCTCATGCGGATGTTTCTCTCTCTCTGAGATCAATAAGCATGTCCTCAGATGAGGACTGAAAAAAATCTGATGTATGCTGAAGTCTGCAAGGGTACATCATAGGTTTTTGTGGTTAATCCTCACTTGAGTATATTTTTTGATTGATTTTTAAAAATTATTTATTTATTTACTGATTGATCGATTGATCGATTGATTGGTGGTATATGCCCCTAGCGGGAACCGAACCCAGGACTCTCTGGTCCACAGTTCGAAGCTCAACCGCTGAGCCAAACTGGCCAGGGCTCCATTGATATTTAGATAGAGTGGGAGGGAAGGAGAAAGGGAGAGAGAAAGAGAGACAAATGAATTGGTTGCCTCCCACACAACCCCGACCAGGGTTGAGGTCAAACCTGCAACCAAGGCACGTGCCCTTGACTAGGAATCTAACTCCTGACCCTCCGGTCCAAGGGCCAACGCGCTGATCACTGAGCCAAACTGGCCAGGGTCATTATGGCTATTTTTAAAAACAATGTAGTCAGACAGTTTTAAAACTGCATTGCTGAAAATCATTGCTTTCATCAAATGAGAAATAAAAATTTTTTTTTTAAATCCTCACCCAAGGACATTTTTCCATTTTTTTGTTCAGATAGAGTGGGAGGGAGAGAGAGAGAGAGAGAAACATCGACATGAAAGGGACACATCGAGTGGCTGCCACCTGCACAACCCAACCAGGGCCGGGGACAAACTGCAACCGAGGTACATGCCCTTAGCGGGAACCGAACCCGGGTCTCTGTGGACCGCAGACCAATGCTCTAACTGCTGAGCCAAACCAGCCAGGGCATAAACATTTTTCTTAATCCTCAACCGAGGATATTTTTGTATTTATCTTCAGATAGAGTGGGAGGAAGAGAGAGACAGAGAAACATCGATGTGAGAGAGACACATCGACTGGTTGCCTCTTGCATGACCATGACCAGGGCCGGGGACCCACAACTCATTGGTCCCTGGGCCCACGCTCTAAGCACCAAGCCAAACCAGCCAGAACAATATTAAAAATAATTTTTTAAAAATTACTTCTTGGGCCCCAGGAATCCCTGCTTGCGTTAGATGAGCCAGGATCTGGTATTTCCAACCCTAAAATCCCTTCCCAAAAGGGCTCGTACTGGATGGACTGCATCTGAGAATCTTTAGGCGAAACAAACATTATAAACGAGTGACTTAACATATTTCGACTCCAAAGGAGGTCGTTTTGCGTCTCACGTTCTCAGTCTGATGTGCAGCTGAGCCTGGGCTGGGAATCTCTCTGACCATCTTAAACTAAAAGCTTCAGCCCTGGCCGGTTTGGCTCAGCAGTTAGAGCATCGGCCTGTGGTCCAGATAGACCCGGGTTCGGTTCCCGCTAAGGGCGTGTACCTCGGTTGCAGTTTGTCCCCAGCCCTGGATGGTCGTGCGGGTGGCAGCCACTCGATGTGTCCCTTTCACGTCGATGTTTCTCTCTCTCTCTCTGTTCCTCTCTCTCCCTCCCTCTAAACATGGAAAAATATCCTCAGGTGAGGATTAAAAAAAAAAGCTTCAAACAGAGGAAGAAATGTATCTGGGGGTTTCCAAGGCAACGGGAGCCGGAGCTGCTCCAAGGCCCGAGCAAAAACTCCTCCGGCAGAAACTCCTCTGGCAGCCACATCTCTGGCTCCAGGGTCTTTGGCGAAGCTGTGAACACCCAGGAGGAAGAACTGGTGAACCCCCCCCAACGCCGATCAACACCCACGTGACAGCCGCTCTCACCTCCTCCGGGATGTCCCACTGCAGCCGCGTGGGGTACGGGATGTTCGGGTTGGTGTCCCCTTTACAGTGTCCATCCTCCAGGTAACCCAGCTGGAAGCTGTCAGTGGCCAAGACGTACTGTCGGGAAAAAACATCCATGTGGAAAGTCACGGGCGATGCTACAGCTCAGGGTGCAACATAAACCGTCTCTGTCCTCCAAAGCAGACGAATCCCTGCTCTTTTTTTTTTAAGTATGTTTTTATTGGTTTTAGAGAGAGGAAGGGAGAGAGAGATAGAAACATTGATGAGAGAGAGAGACACGAACATCGATGGGCTGCCTCCTGCACGCCCCCCCTGCTGGGGATGGAGTCTGAAACCTGGGCATGTGCCCTGGCCGGGAATTGAACTGGCGACCTCTTGGTGCATGGGTCGACGCTCAACCACTGAGCCACACCGGCCGGGCCAAATCCCTGTTCTTTATAGAGACCCTGAGAAGACACACAGCAGCTAGGTGTTTACAGCATGCTGAGCGCTTCAGATCTCTGCACGGCCAAGTCAGGATCCACACAGGCAAGACCCTTCTCACCTCCACGCTGGAGCCGAGAAAGGAGACCTGGGAGGCCCAACAGCCCGAGGACAGACAAGAGAATCCAGGAAGGGACGACAGGAGCTCTAGCCCAGTCTTGAGAGAGGGCTAGGGCATACAACACTGAGAAGAAGCGGGGTCGGCTGAGGGGGCCAATGGTGGAAGGGTGGAGTGTTCTAGGCAGAGGAGACAGCACGTGCAAAGGCCCTGTGGAGAGCAAGACCTGCTCTAGTCTGTGTAGCTCTAGGGAATAAGTGGGCAGACACAGTCTTACAAAAAAAAGTCCAGCCCTTGCTGGTTTAGCTCAGTGGTTAGAGCATTGGCCTGCAGACGGAATGGTTGTAGGTTTGATTCTCGGTCAAAGGCACGTACCTGGACTGCAGGTTCGATCCCCAGCCCCCATTGGGGTCATGTGGGGGGCAACCAATTGATGCGTCTCTCTCACATCAATGTTCTTCTCTCTCTCTCTCCCCCTCCCTCCCACTCTCTAAAAATCAATGAGAGGGTATCTGCAGGTGAGGATTAACAACAAAGAAAAAGTCCAGAGTCAAAGCCCTCATAGGAACTTCAAGAAGAAAGAGTGAAGTAAAAGCATTAAGATGTCTTCACAAGTTTACTACACGGCTGACCAGGGACCCAGCCTGGGCTCAGGTCCTGTGAGGGACAGCGAGGGAATGAGCCTGTGGTCGCCGGGGGGTGTCCCCTGACCTGCAGCAAGGTCGTCTTATTCCAGCCGCTCGGCCAGCAGGACAGCAGAAGGCTGTGTGATCACAGCCCTTGTGTTCGCCGTGACTCTCCGCGCTGCTTGTTGCTTGAACCGTTACCGCGAGTCTCATCAAACCAAAAACATACAGAAGTCTGGCCCAGTCCGCCGTCGCTGACCCCAGAGTTTAGCACGTCCTTCGAACCAGAGCCTGACAGGTGCGTCAGGGAGACAAGGCCTCGTCAGAATGCCAGGCAGGTCAAATGGTTCAGAGACAAGTTCGTTTTTAAAAGTTTAAAAAGGTGCCAGGGCCAATCCATGCTGTGTTTTAAATTTTATTTTTACTTATTCCTTGTTGTTGTTAATCCTCATCTGAGGATATATTTCTCCCACTGACTGTTGTTTGTTAATCCTCACCTGAGGTTTTTCCATTGATGTTGAGACAGAGTGGAAGGGAAGGAGGGATAGAGAGCGAGAGAAACATCGACGTGAGAGAGACACATCGATTGCCTGCCTCCTGCATGACTCCAACCGAGGGCCAGGGCGAGGCCCGGGGATGGAACCTGCAACCGAGGCACGTGCCCTTCACCAGAATCGAACCCGAGACCCTTCGACCCGCAGGCCGATGCTCCAACTGCTGAGCCAAACCGGCCGGGACTGGGTTTGGTGGCTTTTAAATAACTTGGTAATTTTAAGAATGAAATAACGTGGTGAAAAAGGCATGCTGTGTCTTCATAAACCCAGACTTCCAAATGCCTGCTCCTATCTGGCCTGAAACTTGGCAGATTCAGAAAATCTAGAAAATACAGCAAAAGGGTGGTTTCTTGCAGAATAGACAGAGCTTCAGTTCGGCCCCAAAGCCACGGCCGCTTCATCCTCTGAGTCCCCCCACGAGGTGGCATCGCCTGTGTTTCTAGGTAAGGAATCTAATTTGCGGGACACGAAGACACGAAGCCTCCGGTTACTGATTTAACTTGACCCACAGTACATACTAAAAACTGTTATTCTACGGTCCGACCACTGTCTCTGAATGAATCCACTCCGGGGCTGGATTTCCAGCAGCGACATCCCAGCCCGCGGCGGCCCCGCGACAACTCACCTCCCAGAGGTGCCCGACGATGGGCGCGTCGGCCCAGGAGTGCTCGGCGTTCATGCCTATTTTCCCATTTTTGAAGACAACAAACGTGAAGGACTTGTCAAACCACCTAGGGAAACAAAGGCGTTTCCAGACCTTACACGTCGAAAGAGAAAAAAACAGACAGAAACTACGACCTTGGACCGAGCCCCGGAAAGAGGAGAGAGGTGAACAAGTCTCTGCGAGCGGAACCAGCAGCCCCGCCTGGACGGGCACAGGCTCCCCTGTCCAGACACAGCGACGCACAGACAGGCCGTGTCACCATAACGCAAGGACACCCAAGGTCACCGCGGGGGCGGGAGGCTCCCCGGGCCTGCTCCCCACTGCGGGCAGGTAGGACCTCACTTCACACGAGGACAGGCGGCACCAGGAGCTGGAACTGCCTGGTCACCATCCGTCACAGGACCACAGCCGACATCCAGGTCAGGCCCCACCGCCACCTCCTCCCGCCCGGGGAACCGGCCGCCTCGGTAGCATCTCAACAGAGCTGGCGGCCCGGAGCGGGAGAACCGCACACTTGCTCTTCAGCTGCCTGCGTGCGTGTGTGCGTGTAGAGGGGCCGCCGGCCGGCAGACGGTTTGAGCAGAGAGAAGAAAGCGAAGTTCCGCTGCACGCTAGCCGCCTCCGCGCCCACAGCAGGCTCCGCCCGCCTCCGCGAGGGCAGTACCTGTCACAGCACCTGCCGTGCAGCAGGGACTTGGCGTAGCTGTCCAGCGACGTGCCGGGGTCCTCCTTCTTATACCCCTGCTCCGTTTCGTCCAGCGTCACGAAGAACGCAGCCTTCTCCACGGCGTCCAGGGACTGCTTGTTCTTCCCGCGCCCAAAATAGGCCTGGCGACACCGCGCCCAGGGCACCCTGCAGAGGAGCCCCCAGTGAGGCCAGCGCGACCGGGGCCTTCCCCTTGCCCGTGACCTTTGCAATGACACCGTTTCCCCGGGTTTTCAGGAACCCAAGGAAAAGCACGTGTTTGGTGACCGTCCTAACTTGACGTCTGGCAGCGGAAGCCGCGGCCAGGGCGTGGGAGCCGAGCCTCTTCCGTGGCTGCCTCACCCCCTTTCAGGTGAGGAAACCGATGCACACAGATGAGGCCACAGCTACTCTGTGGCAGGGAGGGGTTCACACCCAGGCCAGCCTGCCCGGGTCTATGCTACTAAGACACAGGACATCCCGTGGAGAGGGACACCCGGGAGCCAGATTCAAGGGATTCCCTTCTGTCCCACTTCACGTGGCACACGTGGATCTGACGTGGCACCGGCCGTGGCACACGTGGATCTGACGTGGCACCGGCCCCCCTCACTTGGGCCCTGCCCAGGTCCTGTGCCACTGTGCACTCCCAGACCACGGTCATCTGGCCCGTCTCCCGCCCTCTCCTCTCCCCTAGGGCGTGGCCGAGGTGCCCTGGTGCCAGAAGACCCATAAGCATGATGGGTCCCCACCCCGTCCTCTGTGCCAGACGACAGAGACGACAGCATGGCCAGGGAGCATGTCCGTGTGAAGGGCTCCGGTAAGGGGGTGAACGATGCCCCACGCAGGACGCATCAGGGTGGGTCCCGAGGGGCGAGTGGTCCCCGGTGCCCCCACTCCTCCACAGCACCTGCACCCCCGCACCCCCGTCCAGCTCACGCCCCGCTGACACTCAGCAGCACTCCGGACAGAGGCTCTGTGTGCCCGCGCCGGGGCAGCTCCCGCGTCTCACCACCTCGCTCCTAACGCTGGGTAACAGATGCCATCTCAGAGGCCACAACCAGGGGCGACACTGTCCCCCAGCGGCACCAGGCAAAGTCTGGAGACAGTTCTGCTAGTCACGGGGGTTTGCTACTGGCGTCCGGGGGTGAGGGCCAGGGATGCCGGGCACCATCCTGCAACGCACGGGACAGGGACCCCCACACCCCGAACGAATTGTCCAGCCCAGCTACCAGAGACACCCGTTCTGAGTACCTGTACCCGCTCAGTCCTCAGGCGAGCGACGGCACAAGGCAGGAGATGGACCCTGACCCAGGCCCTGGTCTGACTCCTGTTTCCTCAGTTAAATATGAGGCAGCCCCATGAAGAATCCTGACTCCCGACTCCTCCTCCTTCGTGTGCCTGGCGCCTGTGTGCACCCCCACGTCTGCCTGTCACACGCAGAGGCGGCCAAGGTGACCCAAGGCAGGAGCAACGCAGCCCCCGAAAGCCGCGGACACACCGCCTCCTTGCCAGGCAGGCCCCTGGGCACGAGCCCAAGGAGCGCGCACGGCCCCAGGCGCAGCCAGGGTCCCGGAGGGGCTGCACACCTCTCTGCCGCGGTGAGGGCCGCCAGCTTCGCCTCCCCAGCCTGAGGCTCCGACGGGTCGTCCAGAATCCTCTGCACCTGCTGCTCGATCTCCCGGGGCTTCAGCAGCCGGCCGTCGTGGTACAGCCAGACCTTGAAGTAGCGGCCCTTGTGAAACACCACCATGTGCCTGCTGTCCCGGACGTGCTGGATGGTGTCTGGGGCGGGTGCGGGGAGACAGAAGCCACGACACAGGTGAGAGAAGGGGAGAAAGTTACCCGGCTTCTCAGCGCAGGCTCCATGTCTCCTGCCCGAGAGGGTTAAACACACGGTCGGAGCCGGCAGCTCTGGAATGAGACAGGCCAGATTGTAGGCTCTGCGTGGCCACTGGGAGACACACTGGCTTGTGCCAATGACAGAACCCTCCCTGAGCCTCCGCTGTCCCGTCTGTACAATGGAGCTAGTAGTCACGTCCCGTGGACGTGCAGGAATGAACAGTATCTTGTTCCTGGACTTAGAGGAAAAGCTTGTCACACACGGACTTTAGTATGTTGCAGTGCATTCTTGCTACTTTTGTTCAACAGAGTACTAGAAGTCCTAGCCAGAGCAATTAGGCAAGAAAAAGGAAAAGGCATCCAAACTGGAAAGGAAGAAAGAAAACTGTCAATATTTATAGATGACATGATATGTATATGGAAACCCCAAAGGTTGCACCATAAAACTGTTAGAACAAATAAACAAATTCAGCACAGCCCTGGCTGGGTAGCTCAGTTGGTTAGAGCATCATCCCAATACATCAAGGTTTTGGGTTCGATCCCTGGGTCAGGACTCATACAAGAATCAACCAATGAATGTGTAAATAAGTGGAACAACAAAAAATAATGTTTCTTTCTCTCTCTTTTTCCCTTGTTTTCTCTCTCTAAAATCAATACATTAAAAAAAATCCAGTATAAAGTTTCAGGATACAAAAATCAGTTGCATTGCTATACACTAATAACAAACCATGTGGAAGAGACATTAAGAAAAGCATCCCATTTACAACTACATCAACGAGAATAAAATACCTAGGGATAAACGTCACTACGGAGGGAAAGTCCGGGGGTGGACGAGAAGGCCCGAAGCCGTGTTCTCACCTGTCTCCTCCCCCGGGATCCGAGACGTGTTGAACGTTCGCTCCCACTGAGCCGAGCAGAGCGGAACTGTGGATCCCAGAAGAAGAATCTGTAACAGAAGCATGTGTCAGACAAAGATTCCACAGGGGGAAAGGAGCAAATGCAGAGCACACACGTCATGCTGGGTTTGTGTTCTGCGCACAGGGCGTGGTCTGGCTGAATCTTTTCCTAACTTCGTAAAGCACAGCTGTTCCCTGGGGTGCCGGGCTTCCCTGGGGACTTACTGGGCCGTGCCAGGGCGCAGCTTCCCACGTGGTCACCTCCTAAATCACACACGCTAACTGGTCACGTATAAACCGACGCTTCAACCAAAGGGTATTTACAAAAGAAATGTTTTGTTCCTGAGCCGTTCACCAGCGGAGTTATTTTCCTTCTAAAGTCAATAAGAGTTTCTTCCAGGGGCACATGACAGAAGTACGTCGGACATATCCAGACCAAAAGCAGCGCATCTTGTACGATTCCATATACAGAAAGCTTTGGAAGATGCAAACGAGCCCAGAGTGGCGGAAAGCGGGTTCCCTGGCGGGCGGGCGGGTGGGGAGGGGCGCAGACGGGGATGGGCAGCGGAGGCGCACGAGGGAACTTTGAGGGGTGACTGCGCTCACTGTCGTGGTGCGATGGGCATGTGAGCGATGTCAGGACTTACACACTGTGCAGCGACTCCATCATTCCTCAATAGAGCTGTTCATACAAGGATATTTTGAAAAAAAAAAAAGTTGGTTTACTCACTGGTTTGATCTCCTCCCGGTCCAGCTTGCGTCTGTACAGTAGGAGGGCATGGATGGCGTTGCCGGCCCTCGCTGCCTGGATGTGCGTGGGTATGATGTACAGAAAGTCCTGCAACGGAAGGTGTGTCAGCAGGGCGGACTGCAGAGACACACAGGCCGATGCAAACACGCTCGGACACTGGCATCGTCCGCACGAGCCAGGGAACGCACACCTGCTCTGCTGGAAGACAGGTGGCCACCTCATCATCTAGGCTTCGCCAACCTTCCTTTGTCTTTTATTATTATTACTGTCAATCTATACAGTTTTAAATGCTTTTATTGATCTCCTAGAGAGTGAGGGAGGGAGACAGAGATAGAAACACCGCGCCCTGGCCGGTTTGGCTCAGCGGTTAGAGCGTCGGCCTGCGGTCCAGAGAGACCCGGGTTCGGTTCCCGCTAAGGGCACGTACGTCGGTTGCAGTTTGTCCCCGGCCCTGGTCGGTCGTGCGGGTGGCAGCCACTCGATGTGTCCCTTTCACATCGATGTTTCTCTCTCTCTCTCTCTCTCTCTCTCTCCCTCCCACTCTACCTAAACAAAAAATGGAAAAATGTCCTCGGGTGAGGATAAAAAAAAAAAAAAGAAAAAAAAAAGAAACACCGAGGTGGGGGGGAAACATCGACTGGCTGCCTCCCTCATGCCCCCCCCGCTGGGGATCGAGTCCACACCCCAGGCTTGTGCACTGATCGGCCAAGCTTTTTTATTATTGTTTTTAATCCTCACCGGAGGATATGTTTTCATTTTTATTTGTTTTTCTAATGCTCTTATTTATTTATTTTAAAATAAAAAAAAAAATTTTTTTTCCTTTTTGGTACGTGCCCCTAGCGGGAGTCAAACCCGGGACTCTCTGGTCTGCAGGCCGATGCTCAACCACTAAGCCAAACTGGCCAGGGCAAAAATTTTTTTTTCTTTATTGATTTTAGAGAGAGAGGAAGGAAGAGGGAGAGAGAGAGAGAGAAACATCGACGAGAGAGAACATTCACTGGCCGCCTCCTGCACGCCCCCCATTGGGGATCGGGCCCACAACCTGGGCATGTCCCCTGACCAGGAACCGAACCAGCGACCCCTTGGTGCATGGGTTGATTCTCAACCACTGAGCCACACTGGCCGGGCATATGTTTTTATTTTTACAGAGAGGAACATTGACGGGTTCCCTCCCTACGCACCCGGACCGGGAATCAAGCCACCTGGTCAGGGCTTTTTCCTGTGTTATAAGAACACCCACCCCCCCAAGTAATTCTCAGGCTAGTAAAGGAAACAGTATACTCTAAAATTAAATTTTAAATGACTATGATTCAAACTGAAGAGAGTAACGGTACTTTGTCCCAAATATCCTCCTATAACACATAAAAAGAGACACAGACACGACAGGACCACCAGACAGGAGGCTTTTCTGAACGAGAAGCGGCTGGAGGTTCAGTCACCTTCCCTACCGGGCTGCACCGCACCTTCCCCGACCTGGGCACCGTGTCCTCGCGTCCTTTCCCAGACGAAGGGGAGGCCGAGGGACGCAGGTCTGACTGCGCTTTGGAGGACGCAGGACAGGCACTCAGGCAGGGAGGGCGGCAGGCGGGCAGCTTCCTCCAAAGGTCTCTGTGCCAGGCCCAGTCTCTGCCGCTCTGACGGGGAAAAACGTTCAGAGGGAAACTGAATGAGGAAAAACCAGAAGGAAAGAAACAACAACACAGAGGAGGAATGCGGGAAAAATACAAGGAGGTAAAGAACAGAAAGGATGCCCGGCCAGTGTGGCTCGGTGAGCTGAGCATTGTCCTGTGGACTGAGAGGTCCCGGTTCGATTCCCAGTCAGGGCACGTGCCCGGGTTATGGGCTTGGTCCCCAGTAGGGGGCGTGCGGGAGGCGGCCGATACACGTTTCTCTCTCACGTCCATGTTTCTATCTCTCTCTCCCATCCTCTCTTTCTAGGAAATAAATCAATATTAAAAAAAAAAAAGAAAGAGAGAGAGAAAGGAAGGATTTGACTGACCAGTTACTAAACGATGTCCCAGGACCTAAACTGAGGGGCTTCTAAGCAAACAGTGACGTGTGATGTGCTCAGACTGTCAGCGTCTCAACAGCGGACCAGCCACGTGAGCACGGCCCGTGGCGGGCGACTCCGCGGGGCCTCGGGGAGCAGGACACAGCTCTGCGGGAGGCAGCAGGAAAACGCCACCACCTGCTGCCCGCGCCCTCCGCCCGGGTGGCCCTGCCCTGCATGTGGGGCGTCGGGAAAGTGGGCAGAGGCACACACTCTGATTGGGAGGACATCCTGTCTGCCGCAGGCTGTTTTGGTGACCCGAGTTTCTCGGCAGGAGCAGGAGCCCTTGAGCTACTTTGCAAGCACAAAAGGACATCGCGTGGTTCTGTGGCGGGGGAAGCGGGTCCCGGGCTCCCTGGCGGGCGTGAAGTCTCGGGTGGGGGGAGCAGAAGGGCGGGGCCCCCGGGCTCTGGGGGGCACTCACCATGGCGTAGTAGTTGCTGTTCACCATCAGCGGCCCCCGTCCTCGGAGGTAGATATACTCCTCCCACCAGTCGCTCACCTGTAGGTGCGGACAGACAGACGAGCTCAACAACAGTGACGCCGGCTCCGTGGGGGTGCATTTGGAGCAAGAAAACGGGCGATAGAAAGAGGAATTTTTATTTTACTTGATTATTATTATTATTTTTTTTGGTAGGCGCCCTTAGCGGGAACCGAACCCAGGACTCTCTGGTCCTCAGGCCGACGCTCCCACCGCTGAGCCAAACTGGCCAGGGCTGAAAGAGGATTTTTTTTTTTTTTTATCCTCACCCGAGGATATTTTTCCATTTTTTGTACAGATAGAGTGGGAGGGAGAGAGAGGAAGGAAGAGAGAGAGAGAAACATCGACGTGAAGGGACACACCGAGTGGCTGCCACCCGCACGACCAACCAGGGCCGGGGACAAACTGCAACCGAAGTACGTGCCCTTGGCGGGAACCGAACCCGGGTCTCTCCGGACCGCAGGCCGACGCTCTAACTGCTGAGCCAAACCGGCCAGGGCTGAAAGAGGATTTTTTAAAGTCACAACAGCCCTGGCCGGTTTGGCTCAGCAGTTGGAGCGTCGGCCTGCGGACCAGAGTCCTGGGTTCAGTTCCCACTAGGGCCACATACCAAAAAAAAAAGACCCACTGGAAGAGTGGCCAGCGTCGGCCTGCTGGCGTCGCGGTGGTCAAGGCCCACAGTGCACCGCTTCCCGCGTCTCCAGAAGCAGCCGCTCTCGGGGCTGAGCAGTTCCTTTCAGAGCCCTGGGGCTGTCCTCACTCCAAGCAGGGTCCCTGGGTCCCCTCACCGCAGCCCTCTCTTCCTGACCACACCCACGGGCTCTGGACCCTTCACAGCCCTCTGGATCAAGAGACCTTTTCTTTCTGCATCGTGTTCACGTGCTATATACACAGATCGGTGCCCCGGTCAGAGTCTAAGCACACAGGTGACCATGTTTAAGGATTCAAACACCTGTGTGCCCAGCCCTGCCCTGGTTTGGTCTGGGTGACAGTCAACACCCCTCTTCCACGTCAGCTGTTCCTCAAAACCGAGACTCCCACCCCCACCCGGTTTCGCCTGCCAGATGCCCCGTCTGGCCACCGTGTCCGGGGAAGCCCCGTGTTCACGGAGCTGATCGTTTTCCTCGCACAGAGAACGCCTTCAGGAAGGATCGTGCGTAGGCACTTACGTAATTGGTCGCCCACCAGGATTTCAGCTTCAGATACCACTGTAGTTTCGGCCCGAGGTTGACAGCGAAATCTTCGGCGAGAGCCGTCATCCGCTTAAATTCGGTTTCCTTCATGAGAGGCCTCACCGATTCCAGATACTGGGGTTAACGAGCACAGCACAAGCCAAGTTAAAACACCGTTTCCTTAAGAAAAAAATCTGAACATACTGAAAAGGTGGGAAGTCTTCCCCCAAATCGGCTCTGCTGGTCTGAGTGCCGGCTGCCTAGCTCCAACGCTAAGTGATGTTTTCAGTTACTGATAATAAGACCACGAAGCCTGTTCGGCCTCTGGTGGCCCACAAGCCCCCAGATCCTGCAGGACCAGAGAGTCAGCAATGTGACTTCTAGACGGACAAGATCGCGGCGTGGTTAACAAGGGAACTCCGGGGGTATCTTTTGCGTGTTACCCGGCCCTTAACAAGGGCTCCGTTCTCCCCTGGGCACAATATGCAATGACATGGGGGAACACTAGGTGCGGGGCGATTCTGCCCCAGTGCCCAGGACACCAGGACAGAGAGGAGGAGCCGGAATACTGACAGGGGACGAGACAGTCATGCCAGGATTTCCACAACATTGTGAACGTACTTAATGCCACAGAATGGTACACTTTAAAATGGGCATTTTTATGTTATGTATATATTTACTGCTATTTAAAACAATCAGTGATGCCCTGGCCAGGTGGCTCAGTTGCTTGGAGCGTCATCCCATACACCAAAAGGTTGCAGGTTGGGTCCCTGGGTCAGGGCACATGCCTGGGTTGTGGGTTCCATTGCTGGTCGGGGAGCATATGGGAGGCAACCAGTCAATATTTCTCTCTCACATCGATTTTTTCCTCTCTCCTCTCTCTTTCCTTTCCTCTCTCTCTAAAATCTGTAAGCGTGTCCTCAAGTGAGGATGAAAAAATAGTAATAATAAAATAAAATGGTCACTCTTTACACTGTAAATATATATATTTACCACAATTTAAAACAACTCGTAATGGAGTCTAACAAAACTATTGAGTTGGATGCTTGGACAGAAGTGTATGGTATGTGAATTTTCTCTCAATGAAGCCGTTTAAAACATTTGCCAAGTGGTTTCTCTTTCAAACATGATGCCCCTTACAAAGAAACACGCCGCAGGTGTGCCGACAGGGAGAAAGATTTCCCGTGACAGCCCCCTGGACACTGCTGGGTGCTAACACCCGCACGACAGTCCATGAACTGCCAGTCGTCCCTACGTCATAAACCTTCACCCCACGGGCCTCTGAGGGAGGGCGGAGCCTGCAGCCACACCCACCCTGGTCACTGTGTCCCTCACGGCGGGCACGGGCAGGCGCGGCAGAGACGTCTGGAAGCTGTACAGCATGGGCTTCCGGCCCGAGAAGATCTTGACCATCCCCTGGGAGAGAAGGCACATCGAGACGACGCTCAGGATCCGAAACCAGTTCTCAGAGGTGGTTTCTTTCCCCTCTGGTCCCTTTTCTGCCCCTCCCCTTGCAGACCTCAGCAGAGAAACAGGTAACCCCAAAGGACAAGCAGGTGGAGCAAAAGCCTGGGTCTGACAGCGGTTCCGAGGTGTCCCACCCGGTCCAGGAGGCATCGGGCCCTCCGGCCGGGGCCCTCCTCAGGCACCCTGGTACTGCAGTCCGACTGCCCCCCGCACATGGGGCGAGGTCACCCACCTACTTGTGCAAGGCTCTGTCAACAGCACCGAGGGTGCTGGGACCTCAAGCCAACCCCGGGAGCAGTGTGGCCGTTCGGGTCACCGCCAAGCCCAGTGGACAGCATGCCGGTCACGGGCCCTTGCTTTAGGCTGCAATGATCTGAACTTGGTGTGATAACTGGCCGTCCCATGCTGACCGGACCTCAAAGGAATTTCTACGGCTCACGGGGTGTGTTGTGTGGGAGGAGGGGGTACCCAAATGGACATCAGCTACCAATGTCACCCCAGGAGTGTCACTGAATTTGTTTTGTAAAGTGTGAAAACCATCTCTGCCTCTCTTCTGAGTGTTAGATCCTGCCTCTCCGGAAATCAGAAAACGTAATCCAAGCAACGGCAGAATTCAATTTGGAAAATGGTGACGTGGGGGGTAGGGGGGCTCTTGCATATGGGGGTGGCTCCCAGGCCTCTCACTGGTGGGCCCGGGGAGGCGGCGGCGATGGCTGACACGGGTACAACCCCCCACGCGCACCGCAGGTGTAAGGGCCTGGAGGCTGATGGCAGTCCTGGCAGCTCAGGGTGAGCCAGGGAGGCCTGGGAGGCCTGGCATCGGGGGGAGCCACTTTACCCGGCCTTCCAGTCCGAAAAGCTACAAAGTCCACGGGTGGCACTTTCATTTCCCGGAGGACGAGAGGACCGACCTCGTGGCCATGAGCATACAGGTTCAGAACTCACGAACACTCGAGAAAATATTCTTTGGCCCAAACTTGGGGGTCACGGGGAATCCATCCTCTCCGGCAGTTAGAGGTCGACCCCCAAGTCAGCGAGGGTCAAAGGGAGAAGCCATCCTGGGAGGATCTTTCATTAAAAAGTAAAAGGCCCCCACTCGAGACGCCGGGCTAACGAGCCAGACACAGAAGGACAAAGGTCACAATCTCACTGATCTGTGGAATCTAAACGGTCCAAGCGACAGGCCAGGAAACAGAATGCGGCCTGCGGGCTGGGGAAGGAGGGTGATGGGTGAAGGATACAAAGTTTCAGCTCCATGAAAGAAATCCTTCCGCAGACCCCCCACACAGGGGGCGGGAGACCACGGAGGAGGGGGCCAGCTTCCCCGGCGCCCAGTGCTCCGAACGCGCAAGCAGGCTCAGGGAGGCGGCCAGGGAAGCGCACGCCGGCCCCACCGAGCGCCCTCCAATTACCATCCAGACTTTGGTGGCGCGGCTGATCTTGCCGTACTCGGCGAACATCCAGCCGTGGTAGGACAGCAGCACCTTCAGGGAGTAACGCATGGTGACGATCAGGGCCACCCACAGGCCTGTGCCGAACAGCACGCCGCTGACCACGTTCTTCGTCTGGCTGGACATGTAGCCCCTGCAGCGACGAGACGAGACAAGCCGGGGACGCGTGAGCGAGCGACGGGCTGCGGGCGACGCCACGTGCCACGGCGGCCTCCCATCCCCACCAGGAGATGGCAGACAGGGACCGGGACGAGTCCGGCCTGATCGGAGAGGACACCGTCTTAGTCCAACTGTCCAGACTCAGGCGGTCTTCTCGCCTGGAAATGGGCCAGCCCCTCTGCTTTCGTGGTCCTCAAAACCAACTGGGACTGCTCTGTGTGAGGGCGGGGAAGGCACACCTTCCTCCAGGGTCTAGGGAGGGTGACAGAGGTGCCGTGCGAGGCTGGGCCCGCCCCCAGGGTGACCACGCCCCCAAAGGACCCGTAGTCCCCCTCTGACCCAGATCATGTTGTTCTCGTGCCTCTGGATGTGACCATTACTCATCAGAAACTCATCACTTGGCAAAACTGGTACCTCATCTACTTACAGCAAACGCACACAAAGAAACTGGTCACATAAAATTGCCTTTCAGGCACTAAGGAAGGTATGTTTTCATTTGCTAAAGAAAGTGACCTATTTAACGGGAAGGTGGGGCTTTAGAAACGGGGAGAAAGGAGGCCATTAACATGTCTTTACGGCTTTGCTTTTGGTTTCAGTGGGTTTGGAAACTGCGGAATGTTGACAGAAGAAGAACTAAGTGTTTCTATAACTAAAGTTACTGAAACGACCAATATACAACCTGGCGGCGTCTCCAGTGTTCGGCAACTATCATGTTCACGTTTTACAAGACTTGGGTGGCACGCAAACACCTCTTCAAGGCCACATGCGTTGACTTCAGAACTTACATCTGGCTGGAACCTGTCAAAGCTACTCGAAGCCTGTGTGTCCTTTTCCGATAGTCTGTCTACAAGCAAACTTGGATGTAGGACCGTGACAACCTGTCTTTGAGATGATCTACATTCTAGATGTCCACCTGCTACGTCACGGAAGGAAACAGACATACTTCCTCGATGCACACCAATCCTGTAGTAGCTCGGCCTCAACAATAAACGTCGCGCAGGGTCTCACGCACGGGCAGAAAGGCACGTCGGTAAAAAGCGTGAGCACAGAAGGCTCCCTGGAAAGAACGTGCTCCTTCCGAGGCTGCGGGGAGGACTAACAGGGACCACCCGAGCACCGTGCACCCCCAGGAAGACCGTTCCAGACGGCCCCTGACCTGCGCTTTCTAAATTTGGGCCAGGGATGGCCCAGTTACCGCAATGGGTTCAGAAGGACAAAGAAACAAATCTTATAGCGCTCCCGACGATAAGGGCTTTAAATGGCCAAGCCTTCTCAAGACAACCCAGTGCGAAGAGACAGCCCACAGTCGAGGGTAAACTCACAATCTGTGCTAAACCCACGCCAGTCTGAAAGCAGCTAATACTAGCACAGTGTTGGGGTCCAGGCGGTGGCACTGTGCCCTCGGGAGCTACAGGGTGAAAGGAGAGAGGAGGGGCCGGGGCGACGGACTGACAGGCACCCAGCTCGGCGGGCAGGCGTCACTGACACGGAGGGAGCCGGCTCTCTGGGCCTCGCAGACGCGTGTAAGGCGCGAGCCCGCGTTCTCAGGCAGCTGGAGGCTGTGGCGACTCGGCTGGAGCCGAGTCCAAGGGCTTCTGAAGGAACAGTATTTAAACCCAAACGACCAGCAAGGTGCTGGTTTCCACAAAGGCCCAAAGCTCATTTGTATAGCTCAGACCAGACCCTGACACTGGAGACACGGCCCGGCGACCAGGTACGCACACACGGCTGCACCTCGTCCCTAAAGGACTTCAATGCTACACGCAACTCCCGGCCCCCAAAGACGAGGCCTGACCACGGCGTGAGGGCGCGGAGACTATTGTTTCTCTAGTAAGAGACCCGAAAGGGACGAGGGCAGTGGCGGGAGCCTGGGCACCAGCCGGGGCAGGGAGGAAAGCACAGACAACAGCAAAGGATTGCTTACGTTGTGTCAAGGGTCCGATTGATCTTCGCAATTATTCCCAGCGAGGGGTCGATCTTGGCATACATGGTTGACATCACGCCCACCACCACGATCAGCCAACTGGAGGGACTCGCCGGGTACACGCCAGTGATGATGCCGTTCTAAAAAAGACATGCGTATGAGCAGCGTCCCCCCAGCATCGCAGGGCCCCAGGCGACGGGGGCCGGTGACATGCCAGGTGGGGGGGAGGGGTGTCTGCAGCAGGTGACCACGATGTCACTACTGAAAATCTACCCCAGAGCCTCCCCCTGCAGCTGCTCCAACATCTGTCCAGCTCCTTCCCTTCTAGTTCTGAGCCACAACTCACGCGAAAAACATTTCTCCCAGAGTGACCCCAGGACATTAGAATCACCGAGTTTAACATACAGATTCCTGAGCTCCACCCAGATGGATGAATGACAACTGTGGGTTTAGGACGTCCCTGAAGCCACCATGAGGTCCTCTCCCCAACCAGCTGCACCTGAGAGGCCCCAGACTCCGTCTCCAAAACCACCCCTGACCCCCCGAAGCAAGATGCCGCTTAACCCTGAAGTATTTACAGGAGACCTCGCTCCACGTCGAGAATTTTCTGTAAGATATTTCAGCCAAAACCTCCCCCCCCCCAAAAAAAAAACAAAAAAGTAGCAGGAAGGGGGAGGGAAGACAATCGATCAGAACTGGCAGAACGTCAACAGCGGCGGACACCGGGAGGTGAGTGTGTGGTGCGCCATTCTCTTTACTTTTGTGTGTGTTTCAAAACTTCCAAGCAAAACAAATTCTTACGAAGGCCATAAACAAGACATTGATTTGACCAAGACAATGGATTAAAAAGCTCTCAACGCTTTATCTGAAGTTTTTAGAAGATCCTGGCATTCCTACGTGTTATTTCCATTGGATTTCCCCTCGTCCAGAGGGAAGAGCTTTTTTTAAAAGGGGGATGGGGGAAATTAGGCTAAAGTAAAACAAAGGAAGGTTCTAGAGAGTGTCTCCCGCTCACCGGCCCTCCCCCTGCAGCTGCTCTAACAGCCCTGCCCGCCCCCCCTCCGTCTGAGCAATTACCTTTAATAAGCCCTTTGGTCACAGGTGGCCACGCACTGTTTGATATCATTTATTTTTGTATCTATTGGTCTTGACTTCTCAGCCATAATACAAGGTCTTTAAAATCAGGAACATTTGCACTGGGTTGAAAGGATGCCCCCCGCCCCATTCTCCACCATGTGGAGGTAATGAGCTCCCAGCAAGGTGGCACACTTGGCTTCCCCTGCAGGTGGCGCCCTCCTGCTCTTCCGGTGCCTGTCGGGGGATGGGATGTGGCCCCTCAGGTACCTGGGCCCCAGAACCCATGTGCTGCGCCCAGGGACACCTCTGCTCTCACTCTCTCACTTGTTCTAGCTCCTGGGCCTTTTGCTAACCCTCTGAAAAGGAAACTGAGAATAAAAACACCCACTGTCTGATCTGCCCCTGGGGGAAGGGCTGCATCCCCTTTGACTTGCTGTCTCGCTTGAATTTCTTATACATGGCATGTATGTACTCCTCTTGTGATTTTTTTTTATTTCTTCCTCTTTATTTTTCTCCATCACCATTTATGCCCCCTATACCCTCCTCCACCTCTACCCCCTTCTGTGATTTTTAAAAACAAGACATGGCTCTGGCCGGTTTGGCTCAGCGGTTAGAGCGTCGGCCTGAGGTCCGGAGAGAGCCAGGTTCAGTTCCCGCTAGGGGCGCGTTCCTTGGTTGCAGTTTGTCCCCGGCCCTCGATGTGTCCCTTTCATGTCGATGTTTCTCTCTTCCTCTCTCTCCCTCCCACTCTATCTGAACAAAAAATGGAGAAATGTCCTCGGGTGAGGATAAAAAAACAAAAACAAAACAAGACATGGACTTCAAACAAAGGAATACATTTCCTCCTTCGGGTACACAGAACCGAGAACATGTGAAGGGAACTGTACTTGAATTTACGTGCATACTTCTCAACGTCTGAATATTTTATCGGTGAGACGCCCATTCAGCAGACTCACCGAAGATTCCAGCCGCTGGAAACAGCCTGTTTCTGGAAGGTTCTGGGCTCCAAGGGGGAGACACGTCCTTCCTCTGCTTCTACCGAGCAGCCCGCTGGCCCTCCGAGCCCCGCCCACAGACACCCCACCTGCCTGCGGAATGTCGACAATGCGGCCGGAGGGACCATGAAACCAGAAATGCCGTGCCCATGGCCACTCGGAAAGACGGGGACCCCGAAAGCACCCGAGTGCTCCTGTGGACACGGCCCAGGTTAGACAAGGGTCTGCAAACCTTGAATCTGATGAACTTCTTCTTCCAGGAATGAAGTCCCGACAGGTAGATTTGCTTCAGGGCTTCATGGCTGAGCCGCAGGTCGATGCCGTCGGGGGTGACGGTGAACTGGAAGGCCACGGCCTGGTGGGCTTCTGCCATGGTCAGCGATCTCCTGCGGCGGACGGACAGAGGGGTCACTGCGGGATGTCTGACTAGCTGTTAGAAAAACCCTTACACAGAAGTGTAATGTGTTCGGAATTAAAGTTTTTCTTCCCATCTAACGGATCTAAATGAACAGATCCAGCTTTGCGATGTTATACAGACCATTGCTGGCCCCGGGTGACCAGCAGGGTCCAGGAGTGCAAGCCCTCACCCCTGCCTGGCCTCCAGGCCCCAGGCCCGTGGACACCCCACCCCTGACCCCTGGCCCGGCCATCCCACCAAACCACCGCCTGGCCAGCAGGCTGGCCACCCGGAGCGGACATGGAGAGGGCGCCTGTTTAGCAGGTTGCCCGGCAGAGGCAAAGCCCACCCCCACACAGCAGCCACCTGGAGTCACAGATGAGTCTGCAATGGCCCTAACCCCTTACCTACAGGTGGGAACACCAGCTGACACCACCCACGTGCCCTCCGCTGTGCGAGGGGTTGGTGCCTTGAGAACCCATTTAGACGCCATGAAAGCCAGGCAGGACCCCGAGGACGGAGCTGGCCCTTCCTCCTCAGAGGCCATGACTGAGGTCAAACCCCTGGTTGCTGGAGCACGGACCCTCCCCATGCACGGGCGAGCGTCCCTCCCAGCGAACAGAAGCACATCTCATTTGAGCTGCTTTGGAAGCTATAGTATGTTCTGTCTCCTGGCTCCCGTCTGCTTCCTCCTAGGGACACGGGCCCCTCGAAGCCACCCCACTTCCCTCACGGCCTCCCCCACCTTCTGAAGGTGAGTGCGCGCACCATCTCCTCCTGAACTGTCTGCACAGAGCACCACGTGGATAAAAAGGCAGCCAGAGAGGAGAAAACGACCCGGCACCGTCATAAAAATCTAAAACTGCACGGCGCTTTCTCATCGCAGGCGAAGTTTTTCCCGTTTCCAGCCATTTAAGCCGATGAAGGGCAGAGGGGGTGCCGGTCTCACAGATGCCCAGCTACAGAGCCAGACTAGCCTCATCTTCAGCTAATCAGAGCCCACGAACCCGGGAGCGGGCCCCGGAAAGGCACCAACTTGCATTCGTGTGTTTGTGCGACGAGTACTTGTTGACTGCCTCTGACAGCTGTGGGGATCGAGACACTGGGAGGAAAGGTTGCCCCCAGACAGAGGGCAGGAAGAAGATGGGGTGCTAGAGGGGACCTACCAGGTAACACGGGAGGCTCAGGAGAGGAGTCAGCCAGAGGGCAGTCTTTCAGGCCCAAAGGCAGACCTGTGTGTGCAAGGACTGGAGGTAGAGGTCAAGGGCAGGGCAGCTGGGGTCAAGGGCAGGCAGCTAACTTCAGAGAGGAAGGCACAGACAGCCATGGTGGCAGCTGGCTTTCATGCTAAGGGCCATGGAAAAGCATCACAGCCCTGGCCGGTTTGGCTCAGCGATTAGAGTGTCAGCCTGCGGTCCGGAGAGACCCGGGTTCGGTTCCCGCTAAGGGCATGTATTTCGGTTGCAGTTTGTCCCCGGCCCTGGTTGGTCGTGCGGGTGGCAGCCACTCGATGTGTTCCTTTCACGTTGATGTTTCTCTCTCTCTCTCCCTTCCTCTTTCTCCCTCCCATTCTATCTCTACAAAAAATGGAAAAATATCCTCAGGTGAGGATAAAAAAAAAAAAAAAGAAAAGCATCATAGCCCGGCCGGTGTGGCTCAGTGGCTGAGCGTCGACCCTGCACCAAGAGGTCACCAGTTCGATTCCCAGTCAGGGCACGTGCCCAGGTTGTGGGCCTGATCCCCAGTGGGGGGCATGCAGGAGGGGGCCAGTTGATGTTCCCTCTCATCGATGTCTCTCTCTCTCTCTCTCTTCCTCTCCCTTCCTCTCTCTCTCAAATCAATAAAGATTCCCTGGCCAGTTTGGCTCAGCGGATAGAGCGTTGGCTTGCGGACCAGAGAGTCCTGGGTTCGGTTCCCGCTAAGGGCACGTATCTCAGTTGCAGTTTGTCCCTGGCCCGGTTGGGTCGTGTGGGTGGCGACCAGTCAATTTACATCGATGTTTCTCTCTCTCTCTGCCTTCCTATCTCCCTCCTGCTCTACTGGAAGATAAATTTTTTAAAAAGGCCTCAGGTAAGGATATAAAAATAAAATCAATAAAATAAAATCAATAAAGAAAAAAAATTGAACAACAACAACAAAACCGTATAACCTTAGCTCAGTGCAACCTGCAAGTGCTGGAGAACATCCGCATCCTGTTCAGCAGGCCTGCAGCGAGCTGTCAGAGCCCGGCCTGCTTTGAAGAAACAGACCCAGGTTTCTTGTTTTTTATTTTCCAAGCTTTTTTTGTCCCCTTATTGATTTTAGAGAGAGAGGAGGGGAGAGGGAGAGAAAGAGAGAAACATCAATGAGAGAGAACATTGATTGGCTGCTTCCTGCATACCCCCCGCTGGGGATCGGGCCCACAGCCTGGGCATGTGCCCTGACCAGGAATCGAACCGGTGACCTCCTGGTGCAGGGTCGACGCTCAACCACTGAGCCACACCCGCTGAGTTTTGTTTTTTTTTAAATCCTCACCTGAGGATATGTTTTTATTGATTTGTAGAGAGAGAGGAAGCGGGGGGCGGGGGGAGAGAAATCCATGTGAAAAACATGAATCGCTTGCCTCCTGTATGTACCGGGAATTGAACCCGAAACCTAGTTCAGGTATGTGTCTTACAATGATGTCCCCGATCCCTCAGGGGCTTTATTCGGGATGTGACGGCATTAGCAACGGCGTCGATTACAACAGTGTTTGGGGTCAGTCCTCCCTGCAGGTGTTTGCGGGGTTCGCTCAGAGGCCGTCTGAGGACGCTGGCAGTACCCTCGGCCTCGTCGGACTCTGCGTCTAGCTCAGGGTTCTCCTGTTCTGATGGACTCAGCCTAACAACTAAATATGAGAGTCCTAAACGCCCCCAGAGCAGACAGTCTGCTCTCTCCTTTTGCAATCGCCACAGTGGCTGCCCTGAGCCGGCCTCCCCCTCGAGCCGTAAGCGGGAATCAGTGAGCAGCCATCCACGGGGCTGGAAGAGCCCTCGGCGCAAATCTAATGAGCCGAATCCCATCTGCGCCCTGGCACCTCCTGTAGCTAACAGGGAAAGGCAAACCAAACCCACGGCAAGCCCTGGCCGGGTGGCTCAGTGGGTTGGGGTGTCCTCCCGTACACCGAAAGGTGGCGGGTTTGAAACCTGGTCGGGGTGCGTGCAAGGAGGCAACTGAGGTTTCTCTCTCTCCTCCTTCCTCTCTCCAAAATCAACAGAAAACAGCCCTGGCTGGTGTGGCTCAGTTGGCTGAGCGTTGTCCCATGTACCAAGAGGTTGCCGGTTTGATTCCTGGTCAGGGCACAGGCTCAGGTTGCGGGTTGATCCCCAGTAGGGGGCGTGCAGGACACAGCTGATCGACGTTTCTCTCTTGCGCCCTCTCCATTCCTCTTTCTCTAAAAACTAAAAATATATTTAATAAATAAAATAAAACCAGTAGAAAACATATCCTCAGGTGAGGATGCAATAAATAAATCTGTTTTTATTTATTTTTTTTTTTTTTTTTTTAAATGGTCTTTTATTTTTTTTTTTATTTTTTTTTAATCCTCACCCGAGGACATTTCTCCATTTTTTGTACAGATAGAATGGGAGGGAGAGAGAGGAAGAGAGAGAGAGAGAGAGAGAGAAACATCGATGTGAAGGGACACATCGAGTGGCTGCCACCCGCACGACCAACCAGGGCCGGGGACAAACTGCAACCGAAGTACGTGCCCTTAGCGGGAACCAAACCCGGGTCTCTCCGGACCGCAGGCTGACGCTCTAACAGCTGAGCCAAACCGGCCAGGGCAATAAATCTGTTTTTTAAAAAAGACCATGTCGACATCAAAATTACAACTAAACTACAGCACAACCATCATTCAGAACCGCCTGAAATCAAGCTGAATGGAAGTCCTACAACTACGGAATTAAAGAAGCCACATGGAGACTGGTAGGAGGGCGGAGGCGGATGGGCTGGTACCACACCCACGTGTGGCAGATAAAAATCAGGCGAACAGCTTGCCCTGGCCGGTTTGGCTCAGCGGTTGGAGTGTCGGCCTGCGGACCAGAGAGTCCCGGGTTCGGTTTCCGCTAAGGGCACGTATCAATAAATAAATAAATTAAATTAAATATATAAAAATCAGGAGGATACCTCGGCTGGGCAGGTCCTCCCTGAGGACTGAGGGGTCCCTGTCCCACACCAGGCGCCCCGCTCAGGGTTCCAGTGCCAGGAAGAGAATCCCCATCACTTCTGGCTGGAAAACCAGCGGGAACTGAGGCTGAGGGAGGCTAAGGCTGCGGGAGCCCCAGGCAGCTCCACTTAAAGGGCCCACGCACCGAATTACTTGGACTTGCTCCCTGAGTTCAGAGGGGAGGTAGCTTGAAAGGCACCAGAGACAGGGAAGAATTGAGCTGTTTGGCCTTGAAACAAGGCCTGGAGAGGCGGCTTTCTCCTGGTCAGACGTGCTGGTGGAGGCCTTTGTTCCTCTGGTGAGCTCTTCCCTGGGGTGGCAGATGGCAGCCATATCTGGGACTCCAGCACCAGGCTCACACTGTTTGCCCTGCCCTGGTGGTTCCCTGAGGCCCCGCCCCACTCAACTTTCGGGCCCACCCAAGCTGTTGCCCTGCCCTGGTGGTTCCCTGAGGCCCCGCCCCACTCAACTTTCGGGCCCACCCAAGCTGTTGCCAGTTGCTTTACCATAATATTGTCCTGTCTTGGATCCTGCTTCAGAGTTTCTTAAAATCTCTCAGCATCTGGCCTCAGTGAGCCCCATACCTCTTGTTGAGTGGCCTCAGGCCTGGCACTAGAAGGAGCCAGCCTTGGTTCACAACTTGGCTTTTCCTGGAGCAGCCATCGGCAGATCGCTTTGTAGCTTATGCCAGGTGGCCCCAGGTAGAACACAGGCAGTGGTGACCTTGCCCCAGAGCCAGCACACCCAGTGGACAGCTTCAGACCAAGTCGAAGCAGCACCACCCAACCACCTCCACAGGTGAC